TATCCAAATCTCGCGTCTCGGCCTTGCTGTTGATGAGACTCTCAATGTAATGAGAGCGCTCGACGTAGGGTGGGCATTCTGCATCTCCTGTTGGCTTTGTGGCACGAACATACTGAACAAGAGATTAAACACTGCTACATCGCAAATTGAATGGAGCCACACCTGTTTGTATTTCAGCTCTAAGGACTTAACCGTCCTCTCGGGCCGTCCACAGCTGTTTGCCCACTCATTGTACGCAGCGCCAACGGTGTTCCACCCATATCCACCGGTGGGGAGGTGGTCTTCAAGAAGGTCAAGCAATTGGTCGATGTCATCGTCATTGTAGTTGACAGCCCCAGCAATACGGCCACCACGTTTAACACGTTTGGCAGCCGGTTCGTTGTCAGCATGACCAGCTGCCTTCCGCTTGCTGACAGTCGCTGGGGTGTCGGCTTTCTGTTTACCCTTGCCCTTTGAGGGAGCAGGGTGGCGGCTGCCGGCCACCTTCGAGGCAGGTTTTGCAATCTTCGGGAGCAGCTTGTGAGCGGGTGGAAAGTCGTCATCGTCATCCTCAGGGAGGGGTAAGAGAGCTGGGTCGATCGCGGGTTGGCGAGATGGGCCAGCAATGGGGGGCGGAGGGTGGTATGGTCCATGCGGGGCATCGTTCGGGCCAGAGGTGGGTGGGTAAGGGTTCTAGATTCGAGAGATCAACACAACTGTGAAACAACGCAGAGTAACATACGTACCGGTGCATATTGAGTGAGATATCCTGGAGGAGGGTACTGCGGCATGGCATGTGGTGCGTGGGGGTGCTGAAAAAGTAGTAACCTGTTAGCTGTGGTGAATAAAGGAAGGTGAAAATACATACGGATAGATTCGGCCAGTCCATCCCCCCATAGCGCTGGTAAGGCCCGGTATCCCTAGCGCTGGAGGCGGATTCCAACCGACAGGTTGACGGGTGTTGGCGCCGGCCTGGCTGGGGTTGGTAGTTCCACCAGAAGGGGGACCAGCTGGGTCGACTGGGGGGTTGTTGGTTTTGCATGTGGTTGGTATTGTGAGACATGTTCGCAGAGAGGGATCGACAAGTCAGTTAGCAAGGGAATGCTGGAGAAAAGGGAGAGAAACGCACCTGCTTTTAAACCTTTTCACCATTCTTCGCAACGCCCTAGAGCAGAATTTGGACAAACACGAATACGCCACTGGGACCAGGAAGGGCGCATTTTTGATGCTTGGGTCACTATGATCAGGTACTCAGACACGACGTAGGTGATATAAATGGTGAGTTTTCATGAATACGCCTGCGTAGATGTTCAAACTACACGAAAAGCGCTAAATTGAGGGGGTGAACAAGAGGAACCAAGGGATGCTAACCGTTCACTTACCAGCCTCAAATCCCCTTTCCGTGACATTTATTGTGTATTTCCCATCAATACGACGCGTTGTAAACCATCAAAAAAAGCCCTAGAGGAAAGGGCACGTCTACAGGGCAAGGACGCGTCTGAGTGTCCTGATCAGAACGCGTCATCTAATGAGCGCGTCTGCCAAGCACAAAAGCGCGGTGATCGTGATGATGATGTAGAGCGTGGTCTTGTATGGCCGCGGAGTTGAATTTTCGGTCTGGAATGCATTTGGGAACGGATTTGGAGTTGAGAGGGGGGTAGGGAGGGTCCTTCCAAGCGAAGGTTTGAGACGAGGTCGCTTTGACAGGTCGGACCTTGAATCTGAAAGATTTTGATGTGCCTGGCTGTCGGCACCTCGGCTTATGAACTTAGAACACGCATCTGGAATTGAAAGCGTTCTAAATCGTTAAGGAAAGTCATCCAATCGCGTTAAAGTGGTTCAAACAGTCAATTATACTAAATTGATGTTAAATCTGGTTCATAAGGCTAATTTTACCCATGTGGGTTTTCCTGATGGAGTTGGGAGGGCTTAGCACTGGTGAGCTGGTGGGGTTGATCCAGGAAACTGGTGACTTTCGTTGAGAAAGGATGAGGCATCTTATACTCTCGGTCTCCGTGCTACATGACTGGTGAGAAGGGGTCAGCTCGGCCTGGCGATGCCAGAGACACTCACTAGCGCGACACCACGGGGATCGGGGGCTGTCCGAGTGTCACCCAAACCGCCTCAGAGTCCTGTTTGCGACGTCGTAAACAGGGCTTCCTTCTTCCGCCGTCAGTCGAACTGTGTATTGGCATTTCCCTGCCCCTGTTATAGTTGACACAGTTAGCCTGGGGTGCAACTCATGGCGATGTTCCGGCGACAAGTCTAATTAAACCACTCACCGTCGGCCTTCTGACATCTCTTAGTGGTATACCCTTCACCTCGCCTGTCCAGAAGACTGACTCGGCGGCGACATTCTGTGAGAATGCCCCAGGGAACCATGGAGAAATTCTCGCTAGTACAATTGCTGCGGCCAGCGAGGTGCAAGCGCAGGTTTCGCGTTTGGCGGAGCTGGACAGGTTGGACGGCCATGACGGCATCGTGATTGAAGTGCAGCAGACTTTTCGTACTTCTGCCACTCTCTTTGCCGTGCGTTCAGCCGAGGGTTGTCGAGAGAGGTGGATAATTTTAGTCTTCACTTGGTTCGGTTCCTACAGCTCTGACACCCTGTCATGTGAATTTCATAAGGCAAATGTTAGGAATTGGATGAACAGAATACATACCGTCGCCCGTTGAACAAGAAGTCCCTTCGTTTCATTGAACAGTGTTGTAGAGGGTCCACCATCTCGTCATGACTGTTGATGAAAGGTGATGTTGATAATAAATCTGACGTAGTTGAATGGCGAAGCAGGCGAGGAAGTGTTGGATGAAGACAAAGAAGTGTGGGAGGCCGACCGTTGATGCTCTCCGTTGCCATAGCTGTGGGCGACGAATAGAGATCTGCGAGAGGAGTTTCATTTGCACCTGCGTATATACAGTAGGTGGTGGCGACGTACCTAGCAAGTAGTCGCAGTGGGGGCTAGGACGGGTAGTCTCTGCCCTTGTCTCACTGCCTAGCCTAGATCATGTTGCTGACTCCACCACGTCAACACCCATCATCCTCATAAATAAAAGAACGACGCGGTCCTCGTTGTCAGACTCGGAGGCGGCGACGTGGCGCGAAGTTACTGAATGGCATCGGTCGGCAGGCAGCTGGGTGTGGTTTTGCGACGCACGGGGGAAGCCAGGGCATGATGGTTTGTAGTGCGACGTGGATAGTAGGAGAAATTGTCGTTATTGTGCAGTGCCGAGGAGTGTTGTGCTGCTCAAAGCCGTTTTTCCATACGATATCGCCAACCACGTTTCTGGATGATCAGGAAGCAAAAATCCGCTGTAGATAGCCTATGAGGTGAGAAAGTGGTCGGAAGTTGCCGCCGCAGTGATCGCTGCAGTTTCACCCATGACAGTTTCCATTTCACGTATGCTCACACATTCAAACACGTCCGAGCTTGATTTCAAGTCTTACTACCACGGCTGACTAGACCGCTTCAGAGCAAGCCCACACACATTTGATCTCGACGCTGTGCACCACTTTTCGCACCTACGCCATGCCGGTACTAAGACGGATAAGTATACGAGTCCCCTGCTCTTGAAGTTTACCAATCTAGAAGGCCAATCACCTAGTGGTAAACTGTCAACGGAAATACTATTGACCTTAGGCAGTTTGGATGACGCTCGGACAGGCCCAAAATTCCCTGCTGTCGCGTTTGAACGACGGCAAGGAAGGTGAATTTCGGAATCCAGAAATCAGCGACGCCTTGTGAGTGTCTTCAGCGTCGTCAGGCCACACCAACCCCCTCGTAGCAAGGAGACCCAAAGTATAAAATACCTCATCATCTCACAAAGAAAGTCACCAGCTCCCTGTATCAAGCTCACTAGCTCACAAGCGCTCAGCGCTCAGCACTTGCATATCGCTACAATGGTCGCCTACAGCAACCTCACCTAGTACGACTAGCTGTTCTCCCAGCTCGAGACCGAATATCATCACAACTGCCGTTGAGTAGCGCATCCAGCGTGACCTTCTGGAAATGCAGAAAGGCGAGTCCGGCCCTGAACTGAGTTCATCTCAACTAGGGCGTCCACCATATTTCCAAAACGGCTGGCCCATCCTGAGATTATACTCCGAAAGTTTGCCATATGGACTGTTGATTACTAACCAACGAATAGGTCATCTCTAAGTCTTCAGACAGTCGGATGACGCGCACAAGAAAAGACCGACCTGTCACCGTTGTTTGGGCAAGGTGAAAGAGTTGTCCGGTGGATCCCCGCCCCAGGACTGTCACTTTTGAGTGGCGGCATGGAAGGTGAATTTCCTTTTTCGAACACAGACCCGACGACTCATCATGCGACAGTGTTCCAAAATTAGCGAACTGTCAACGGAATTCAGAAATCCCCTATGCCTGGTGAGTGTCTTTGTAGAGAGAGTAGTACCATTTACCAGGCCGAGCTGACATGCATCGCATTCTTATTATGCGTCCGGTAGCACCGCCTGAGGCATATAAGTGACCTCACATATCCGCAACCGAAGTCATCACTTCCTGACCAACCTTAGGCTCACTGCTAGCTCATCAACACTTGCGTATCTCACCGTCTCAAATCGCAATGGTCGCCCACAGTCGGCTCACCTACGACCAGCTGTTCTCCCAGCTCGAGACCGAATATCATCATAAATTTGTCCCAGCCTCAGCACTCTTCTGGACCCAACACGGGCAGCACGCCATGCGCCTGGAAGTTCCGAGCCTCATGCGCGAGTTTAAGGACCAGATGACCGTCGGACGCGGTGCGCCTTACTATTGTGATTATAGTCTTGCCCCAGCTTTGCTGATCTTCGTACTTGCAGATCCCGAGGGGTACCTCTTCTACAAGAACGTGGACGACCTTGACCTCGAACGATCAAGTCGATACATAATGTTTCCGAACGTCTACAAGACGAAGACCGACCACGCAGTAGTTGTCCAATTCTTCCACAATGACCCTAGCAAGTGTTATGCGCAGGTCAGCGCCCTTCGATTTGTTGTCATCGTTACTCATCGCAAGACAACCAAATGTCTGCTCTAGTTCATTGCAAAAGACGAAAACATAACCGTTGACTTCTGCATCGACAACGGAAAGACCGGCACTTGGACTAAGCTTGTGCAAGGTTCGGCACACGCTAAGCTGAAGAAATACAGCGACGAGGACACAGTAACCCTTACCGTACCAGCAATCGGTAAACAGGCGACCTTCGAGCTGAAAGGCGACCAAAGTATTCCCGAGACATGGGGCGAAATCAGCTTCAAGCACCTCTCCGAACTCTCAACTCCGTCCGGAAGTCGCTCGTTCGTGGACTTCTCCCCAGATCGCCTACTTTTCTTCCCGAAGCAGCAGAATGCAGACTTCACTGCGGTCTTTATTCGTAAGCAGCTCGCATTTTTCGTGTGGTCGGACAGAATCTCTGTAGACTATATTCGTGTAGCTTCCGAGGCCCTTGCACGCCCTGACGCTCTGGGCACCACTAGCGTTGAGACGCAGACAGTTGTATGGAGCGATATATGAGGCAGATACATAAATATTATTCCAGTTCATGTACCATCTCAAACTGCACAGTACGAGGCGACAGTCTGCGTGTTGTGGACACCCTTGGGACACCCCGAGCCATGGGGCGTAAATCTAGTTCGAGCGCGAGTTGTTGAACTGCGACAGTAAGCACGACAAATATATGTTAGCAGTCTGAAAGTAAGTGGACTAAGACAAAGAAAATGACGGACCTTCGGCTTCAACGTCTGAAAAGCCTTGGCAGGTACACAGCCCCCAAATTGGCGATTAGATTAAAAGAAGATTTTTGATTGGCCGAACAAATTCCTGGGTATGGTTTTCAGTTCGGTTTTTCATTTGCCTTCAACTTCTTCCACCATCGTGCTATACCTCTTGGAACTTTGTCTTTCTCCTCTGCATCTGCATTTCGGCCAGCAATGCCACTTTCTGCACTGGTCCACACTAGCAGGTTCACTACGGCTGCCGTGATACGCTCCCCGTGCACCGCAGGTGGTACGAACGCCTGTACGCATGGGTATGCCCTCACAGGACGACGGGCGCCTGCATTCTCCGCAGAGGCTAACCGTCATCCAAATGGTCGATATCCAAACACGGCCTCCACCTCCGCTCATCTGCGGACGAGGCTGCACCACATCCAGCCTACGACCATGACGACGCTATTAGCGGGCTTTGCACACACACAGGGCGCGACAATGCCGTTGGGCCCGAATCCACCATATAGAAACCATTCAGGCCGACGAAATCACTCGACGCTTGCGGAGTTGTTCAAGGGAAATCAACAGTTCATGGCGGAAATGTCGAAGGAGAACCCAGGGCTGCTTTCTTCGCTCGCGAAAGACGGCCAACGTGCGTCCTTATTGTGCTCTAGAGACCATTTCCCGAATTAACCTGCCATACAGGACCACCATTCATGCTCGTCGACTGCTCAGACAGCCGGTTCGTCGAGTCGAGTCACAATGTCCTTGGCATTTTCTTACCGTTACCAAACCCCAGAGTCAACGAGCAAGGCATCTTTTGCGCGCAGCCTGGCACGATGTTCACGGCCGGCAACATTGCCAACAGGTTCGACGAAGACGACATCAACTCGTACGTCGTCCATGCTCCGCCCGTCCATGATGTCATCTGAGGCCCGCCACGACTCTTCCTCCTCGTGCTATTGGCCGCCACGCGTGTATCTTTCCCAACTCATCGATTTATAACACCGCCCGTTCGATGAACGCGGGCTAACGTCCGGATCTTCTTGTAAAATCGCAAATAGAAACGCGGTGCTCTCCTTCGCTGTCGCCTCTCTGAAGATCAAGCACGTGGTTGTCCTCGGGCACTATGGATGCGGTGGCGTGGCGGCCTCCATGATGCCCTCCAGTACAAAGACTCCTGCGGATGTTGCGGTTCAGACTTGGATCGAGCCTATAAGACAGACTTACCTCACTTCTACTCGGTAGGCGAAAGTGATACTACGACAAATATTCCTTCTCATGTTCTTCATTTCAGCCCAGCTATTGTTGCTCATAGGGCGAAGAGCCTTACGGGACCCGTTATGACACCCGACCTGCACGATCGTGAGTTTTTGCCTGTTCTTATCCTTGTCAACAGCGTCTGACGTCTCCTTTGTGAAGCTGCTTTCCGCGCTCTCGTGGAAGAGAACGTCAAGTCGAACGTTGAAAAGATTGCCAAATCTATCGTCGTACGCAACGTATGTCTCCTTTGTCTTTACTAGTTTCCCCCCCAGAAATTAATAAACTCCTGCCTTGGCGTAGCATTATGCATCGCTGGTTGGCAAGCCCATTCCACCTGCGAGCGAAAACTCGCCCACCAACGAAGCAGGTGACTTGTTCATCCATGGCTGGGTGTACGACGTCGAGAACGGCCGAGTGTCTGACCTTGGAGTGTCTGTTGGACCGCCTGGCCGGCCTCTTCCTCCCAGCCCATTTCCTCACATCGCATCAGACTGACGAGCGATGGTGGTAACGTACAAATACCCCATGGACCTGTGTCTTGATCTTCTCCCCTAGCTCGATATATTCGCATCCATTATGTTCATCTACATAGATTTTATATCGCTCTGAAGGTTTTACTGATGATCCACGGACTGGACTGAGCTCGTGAGTAGATTAGATTGGACTGTCAAATGAACATACACAGCTACGATCAGATCAATCCTGTAGAACAAGCAAAGCTTGGGCATATCCCCAATGCGAACGATTTCAATTGACTTCTTGCGAGATTACTTGCCGGGCTGTAATATTAATATTGTCGCGTCGAGTTCTTCTTTTCATTCATGAGCTAGGAACATGATATGGCTCCGACCGATGACGTATCGCACGGGAAGTTCAATCTGAACCCTTAACTTTGTGTACTGCTTTCGGTACGATCTTCGGAGACTGCCGACTGAGTCCAAAGGTGGGTGATGGCTACGCACAGTCTAGGTCACGATAAGTCCGTAAAGCGGCAGTACGTCGGCAGACTGGCGATCAGCGCGACCAGCTGTCCCTGTCACGGCGTGGGAAGGAAGCAAGCCCCTCCCCGTTGTGAGACGATAACCCCCCTCAACACCAGTTGGATCGGGGTCCAAATGACGCTAGCTATAATATATGTCATGGAATCCTCGGTTGTCGAATTGGGAGTGACAAAAGACAAAGAGCGAAAAACTAGGTGTACACCTTTTGGCCTAGTGGTTCAATTGCGCTGATAGCTGCTTTATCGTGTGAAATCCCACAAAGTCGATGCTCTAAGTCATCGGTTCGATTCCTGAGACCTACAACCTTTGCAGAAGATGTACACCTCACGACCTCTCACGACGCTTGCACGGGAAGATAATCAAAAGTATCTTCCTTATTTCAGCCTTGGCGCGAAAGCGTGCGTAGTTTGCAGCCGTGATTGCCTTCTGAGGCACCAGACCTAGGACCCGAATACTTTCCCCCCAAGTGCGGAAATCGAGCTTCTTTACTTGGTGTGCTTGGCCTCAGTGCTTGGTCCTATTTATCGGAAGAGAGAGGATAGCCACGTGGCGTGGAAGCCAACTTAGCCAAGAAGTAATGCGCCACACTCGGTTCGTTGTGACCATTTCGTTGCCAAGACACATGTGAAAAGGGAACAGGTTTCAGGAGATTTCAGAATACCTTCCGTGTGAAAGAATGTGAAGTAGGAATGGATCGACGTTAGTCCAATGGATTTCCTACTACCCTGCATCCGCATCCCCGACGGGCTAGGACAGGCTGTGCATTCGACGTTGGGGGCGCTCGAATCGGTTCATTTATTCATGTACCCCGGGCGAGAGCGAGGATTGAATATTGAATATTGATCCGTTAGAACGGCTTTTTTGCGAAGTCTTATCCAGGAAGGCGACGGATGCAGGCATGGGCCTTTGCAAGATGATCTCAACAGTGAATTACTCTTTGAAATTCTTGTCGAACACGTCGGGCAGCTGAATTTCGACTTGAGTCTATCGGCTGCGGACCCGTTTCCTCGTTATCAAGACGAACTATAAATTTGGATGGGGTCCAAGAAAAGTAAGATGACCCTGGAGAAGCGACATCTGGAGAACGATGGGATTTGAACTGGCTTCGTTTCACTGTAGGTGAATTAACAACTCAGAGAATGAGGCTCCTGAGACTCGACCGAGTACAAGGAGGAAGACGCGATATCTATGGCACAATCTATGGCACAAATTACCCGTGGCGCGCTCTATAAAGTATTCCCTTTGTGTAATGAGAGCTATTACTTCGCGAACATGAAGTGGCTAAATTTATCGTACGGCGGTGGCCAAGAGTATACGAATGTGGAAAGCGTATAATCGGTGTAATTTAGGTTCCTATCACCCAGACACAAGTCAGCGAGGAAATGTGCATGACGCTCCCCTGAAATGATTGTCAGGTTGGTATGACCGGGGCTCCATTTGCCGTTAACAGGTTGTATTCATTGAGAACCGCTATTGTGACCTTGACTGAAATGGACGTGGCGGGGTAGGGAATTCGACGAAGTGGGTATTTTTGACCACGCGACCCTAAAAAAAAAAGAGAGCCGGAGACTCTGCCGGGACGATATGCTACGGGATATTAGTTGAATGCGCAATAATTGTGTTACGCTTAGCCTCCCCCCTCCCAACATATTCTGTTTGTAGACCGCTGAATTCTTTATTAATCCTCTCCCTCTGACACAGCCACCGAGACAGGGACGATTACCACGCGTCGGAGAGCTAAACAAACCTTGGCAACGTTTCTATCCCTCCTTCAGTTATTGGCTCGGCGTAATCTCCTCCCCTCATTGCTAACACGTCGGAAAGTGGTCAGCGGCACTTCTAGCGTATTCGTCCCTAACAGACGTTTCGTCATCTATATCTGATAAGCACTCCAATCTACTAGCTCTTCGTCGCGTCTGCAGAGGCATGGGATGGCCGTCGAGGTTAGGCAACGACGCCCTCGAAAGGTATTCACGCTCATGACAGCATCCGGCGCTCAACGCGATTACTTGGTCTACAGAAGCGCTAGGTCAGCCAATTTTGCGCGCGTGGCCACCACAGCCTGCTGAAAATTAGCTAGCGTCATCTTCCATCAGTATGGATCTACCCCCGATACGGAAAGCTATAAAAAGGATACCCTTGAACATCAGGCCAGACACGACGGCCCCACGTTCAACATGAAGTTCTTCACCGTCTCTGCTCGGCGACTCGTCGTTCTTTTGCCTCTCTCCGCGATTGCTTACGCCCACGCAGCGGGACGTGAACGTCGGGAAGACAAGAAGAGGTGCCCTGCCTTCCCCGAAATCGAGGGCTTGTTCAAGGGGAACCAGGAATATGTCAAGGAGATGGAGGAGGAGCATCCCGGCCTGCTCTCTCAGCTCGCCAACGAAGGTCAAAGTAAGAGGACCGCCTGTTATACTTATTCAGGATGCTTACTCTCTTTCTCTGCAGAGCCGCCTTTTGTCGTTTTCGACTGCTCGGATAGCAGAGTCAGCGAACAGGACGCGTTTTCCGCCGACCCCGGCACCATGTTTACGGCAGGAAATATCGCCAATCAGTTCAGCGAAAGTGATTCCAGCGCGTGTGTTTGTAATTCTTCCTGCCCACGCTCTCGTTGATCTGTAAATAGGAATTCTGTTCTCTCGTACGCCGTTGGAGCGCTCAAGGTCAAGCATGTAGTAATAATGGGACACTACGGATGCGGTGGAGTCTCCTCTGCGATGGTCCCATTCAATGCGACTGGTGCAAGCACTGCGGATCTCACGGTGCAACACTGGATCACGCCCATCCGAGAGATTTATCTGACTTCGACACGGTGAGTAGTATATTGAAATGCCTCCTCAACGGTTGATCTCACTTGTTGACTTCAGCGTTGAGATCGTCGAGCACCGTAACAAGAGCTTGACTGGCCCCATCTCTTCCCCAAAGCTCCGTGATCGTATGTATTTCCCTTTTTCTTTACCTCTATTTCGCTGGCTAAACGATATATCTAATATTAGCTGCATTCCGTGCCCTCGTCGAGGAGAACGTCAAGGCCAACGTGAAGAAGGTCGCCGACTCCCTTCTTATTCGCGAAGTAAGCACTGCACCTTCTTTACCTGCTCTCCTTACTGATAGCCTCTAAGCAATACGCCTCAATTTCCCCTGCCACCAACAACTGCACTTCCAACTCAACCGCCGGCGAAGTCTACATCCACGGCTTGGTATACGACATTGAGAACGGGGTGGTTTCTGACCTCCGCGTGAGCGTCGGTCCCCCTGGACGCGTTGTCCCTCCTAGCCCCTTCCCCGGAGCCAATACCAAGAAGAAGAACTAAAAGGTCGATGAATCACTTAGGTAAATAAGTTTCCACGTAACCTATGAGGGTTTTTGTTTTGGGTTTACGGTTGAGCTGCTGTTAGGGATTTGGGCTTGCATTGTACCAAGAATGGCCTTCGTGTTTACCTATTGTATACCCTCTTAATCTACTCACTGCACTGTCGTTTCAGTTATTTCAATCGAGAAAAGTCTCTAGTTATAGGAAATGTGGCGTGTCTTATCGGTGTTCTGTATTGAATTCGATTTCTGGCCCGGTACATTTCGCAGTGCTCTTCCGTGACTCGATCAGACGTGAAAGTTGTAACTTGGGTCTTGTTTGTGAGTACATGGATGATACGTGGCTGAATGAGATCAATCGAGATCGAACCGGCGTCTAGCTTGGGCCACCGAAGCTGGGCCAGGCTCAAGCAAGCGCCCACCATGATCAGCCGGCCGCACTTGTTTCGCTTCCCGTTCCTCCCGTTCCTTCTGCTTTTTCAACCTCTTCCTCTCTTTCTTATTCATAGGGCGCGCTACCAGATCCTCGTGTACTTCCTCGATGCGTCCCGAGGAGGTCATCACCATTCCAAAGTGTCTGGGGTCCAACCGACCACCACTCCCATTGGCCTGACGCTCACGCTGAAGCTTGAGGAAGCCGTCGAGCAGCTGTGTTTGTCGACGCTTGTAGATGGTGTAACGAGGGTCTTTGTCTAGCAAAGCTTTGGCGGTCGACTGTTGACGGATCGTTAATACATCCCTCAGGAGCAACAGAATATGCGCGGCTGACCTGGATTATGTAGTTATACGTTGAGCGGCTCTCTTCTTGAGCGAGTTCATTTTGTCGCTTTGTGTGCCTATAAGTAGTCGTGTGTCAAAAGAAAAATTTGGAGGAGAGGAAAAAGAAAGGAAAAAACACCTTATGTCCAGTAAGGTCGGTTCCGGAGGTAAAATGTGTGGTTGTACCCAGGCAAAGTCTTTCCTCGTCTCGAAATCGCACCAACATTCATAGAATGTGGCGGGGTATTTCGTCTGCCGTCTCTCCGGATCCTCTCCACGGCACCAAAAGATATCTAAATGGCTTCCGTACTCAGGGAGTTCGTCTCTGCATCCCCAGCGTCGCTCGTCGTGGGCTACACAGCGAAACAAATTTCGTATGACGTCGCACCGGCTCTAGTACGAGAAACAACTCTATACAAGTGAGGACACACCGAAGTACGGAGGACGTATACTACCGGGGCCCCGTTGCCTGGATACATTGGCCCTAACCCCAGATTTTGGTGACAGAAATGGAGCAAGTCATAGCATGAGACTCCTCTGGGTCTACGTGAAGTCTGGTGACGGTTGATATACTCCTCGGCTGTACAGAAGAGCAGAGGGTGTTGTTCTTTCTCTTGATCGCTGGCCATGGAAGGATCCTTCTTCCGAGGAGGAACCGACTCTCCACGAGCAAGCGCCGCGTACCTATCTTCGTCCTCTTGCGTAAGCCGCTGCATAAGGATACTGATCCCGAGCTGGCTCTCGTAGCGATAGTCATCCACCTTTTCCGGGCTCTGGGATGTCGGGGCAGTGTTCGCCTTCAACTGAGGTGCAGGGTCAATTATAATTTGATATGAAAGATTAAAGAATGTTCTCGTTACCTGCCCTAACATAGAGGATCTTCTTCCAGCACCCTTGCGTTGCTTCCGAAGGTTCCAAACAAGCGCGACGACAACCAAGAAAACACTGGAAGACGACGCGAAAACTTGAGAAATATGTAACTAGGAGGCAGAAGCTTAAGTACTTACCAGAAAGTCACGGTGATGTTGAGGTTCGGCATAGTACCTTTCATCATCCTGCACGACGCGTAGGATTTGCATTAGATGAGTGGGTTTTCGAGAATCGGTATACATTGCCATACGCACCTGGAGAGTGCACCAAAGACGTTGTCGTGGTGGTCCACCATGTCTCTTTGTCCGATTCTCACTAGTGTCGTACGTTCTCAGTTGATTCGTGGTGTCGAAAGATGGTGGAAGTCATGAAGGTTTGTGAAGGTTGCCAAGAGTTTTGAGAACAAAGGGAATTGATTCCGTCCATATGCTTCCGCCACTAAGAGATAAGATAAGATCCTCAACATCAGAGCCCAAATGAGGTCATCGCCACATGACAAACTTCGCCTTCCGCAACATCGCCGCTGGCCTCGTTCTCCTTTCCGCCATCCTCATTATCTCTGAACAGGGTTTAAAAATCTGTCGAGGTCCCTCTCAACGTCTGGATATGACAACCAACGAACTTGCTGGAGGCCCACTGGCGTCTTGGGTTGCAACGCGGCTGAAGGCGTTATACGAAGTCCCTGCTCCAGCTTCGCACAACCACCAAGATGTTTACGCGGAGACGTTCTCATCGACGGCATCTATCATTTTAAATCATAAAAATGTAACTATGGACGCCTTCAAGAAGGAACTCGAAGACGCCAGTTCTGCGATAAAGGGGGCGAGCGTGGACTGGAAAGAGTTGGTGGAGACACCTTCAGATGATTCATCGGTACGATATTTACATTGTTTGGCCCTCCTTCCATCGATGTTGATTTCGTTGAAAGGGTGGAATTGTGGCAGGATTTTTCGTTGTGACAAGGTCTATGAAATTCAGAATACGAGCAGGGCCTGCTCAGAGGCTCAGTTACAACGTCTTCAGCGCCAAGTACGAGTGCCATGTTTCTGTTTCGTGAATTACGCTCTCATATTATCTTCCAGAGTTGCAACAGATGGTCAAGCTCCAGGTTCTGATTCGGGGGAAGGGTGTCGCCAAATCACTGAGCTTTTCATCACGCATGTTGATAAAGCAGCCCCGATCCACCTACATGCCATCGATGCCGGAATTTCTGCTACCGCTACGTGATAATCGACTGTCTGAAACACTTTCCGAGTCTTCCTGACTGATCTCTACGTTCTTCTTCCCCCTTTCAACTTTATGAACAATTTGGCAGGAACTATATTTAATCAGTAATGACATCTGAGGGCAGTACACCCGATGGTGCGTCAATTTAAGTTCTTACTCCGGGCCAGGACCTGGTGTGCTTTAACCTTAGAGGCCTTTATGCGAAGGCTGACCCCTAAGTGAGGTGGTCCATTTCTGAACAATTGTAAATAAAGCCAAATTTCATCTGTCATGGACATGTCGTGGTTGCCAGCCAGTCAGACTTGCAACTTACCACCGTCACCTCCCTTCATGGACCTGCGTTTTCAGTCGTGAAACTGGATTAAAGATTATTCTGCTCCCCTCTTTCTTTATTTTTGGTGGATCCAAGAGGGTAGCCATCTATTTTAAATGTTCAAGTGGCGTGTTTCACGGTCTCTTGTTGGCGCATCGCGGCCACTGGGTTGTTGGGACCTGCGGCTATCTATGGGCGCTCGTATAACTTGCTGTGTCTCCTCGTTCTCCTCATCTTGCGCACCCTCCGGCATGCATTAGGTCTCGACTCTCGTTGCCATTCCAATTCCGATGGTCTCCAGGTCTAACATACTGCGCTGTCCCCTTTACAGGCCCTTCCGAGTTGCTGTGCCTTTCATGACAACTTGTCTGCTATCGAATTCTACGTCATCTCGTGTTTTCTCATTGTTTTCGCTCGTAGATCCATCGGGTGCTTTCTGGACCAGACGCTGGCCTGCCACCGTCCTCCTTCCCGACTGCGCTGTCACCGCGTTGTGTATCCTCAATCTCTAATTATGCCTGCATTCTCAAGTATGATTACGACCTGGCGGGGCCGAAGCCGATGCTATCTAGCTCCACTGGACATCCCGATAGCTTCAAACACCCGTCGTCTACAGACTCTTGCTGCATTTCAACGGAAACTGTCTACGGCCGCGCTCCTGCCGCAAGCCACCCTTCTGCGGTGACAACGATGCGTCTCTCCCCGATATGTCACGCCATCCCGCCCATATCTCCTTCGAATGTCCTCTGCCAGTGGTGTCCATATCGATCCCTGCAATCCCGGTTGTGAAGATAGTATGCACCGTAAGGCCTTCCTATGCTTTAAATTATCGTATCGGGGGCAACACATGGGCGCTGTGGATGCTTTCCTTACAAAGGCTATAGGTGAACGTTCTCGATACATTGATAACTCGTTTAACGGTGTTCAGCCCTTCGAATTTGCTGATAGCTGCACAGAACGGCATAGCAAAATGGTTTGCCGACTTCCGCTGTTCCCGGAAAGTGAATATCAGCTGGCTGATCCGCCAGGAAGCCTGTTTTAGAGCGAGATATGGGGTTCCCTTTCGCGTCACACATTGGTATCAATCCACGCACGACGAACTCTGGCGCTACGGACTAATCACACTGCCAGCCTCGCTGACACGATGGTCGGATACCGGGCTCCCTGTCTAGTCAGTGTCAGTGCCACTAAGGGCTATTGGTCCGTTGCGTTTTGTCTTTTCTTCATCTATTGCATCTAATCGGTTCATGAACTAGGCTTTTAGGTCCACAGCAAACTGATCGCTTTACATATTTAGCGGTGCTGAGTTTTTTTTTTCTCGTGTGTCTGTGAGGAACGCTGAATGATAGGTTGCCGGGCGCTCGTGTGGCAGTTTGACTCGACAGTCCGACACAGGTATTGAAACGATTGTGTGCCGACCGCTCCTAGTTCCTGACTGTGTCGCTCTGGATCTCCGTGACTAGTGGGTCAAATCCCGACGTCTTCATTGCTCGGATGAGTCAAGCCGTGTATCTCGCCTTCCAGGTCCTGTATTTAAGCACAGGAGAGATACTTGAGGTTTTCATCTCATTTCCTCTTTTCTCATTCTACTGCCGAGAAGACCTAGTTTTACGCGCCTATCCGAACCCCCCGATGCATACATTTATCGGTGCTCTGGTCTCTGCCTTTTCTCTCCTTCCTCTTGCACTCGCTGCCCTTGGGCCGGAGGCAACGCTTAACATCGTCAACAAAGCTATCAGTCCAGATGGCTTTAAGAGATCGTAAGCGTCTCCTTCCCTACGGGTAATGCGTACTCACCCAGGTTCTTGAAGTGCTGTTCTTGTTCAAGGATCCCACCCTGCTCCGCTAATTAAGGCCACCAAGGTAGGGGAACTCTGCCCACTCCGAGTCCAAGAAGCTCACTTGAATCAGGGCGATCAATTCCGCCTCAATGTTGTCAACAAACTCAATGACGATACGATGCTCAGAAGTACCAGCATCGTAAGTCTTATTAAATTGTTCATTATCGTCGTTGTTGATCAAAGCTTGTTTTAGCATTGGCATGGACTATTCCAACGCGGAACAACCTGGGCTGATGGCCCCGTTGGCGTCAACCAGTGCCCTATTGCGCCGGATCGCTCGTTCCTGTACACGTTCTCCGCTGGTGATCAGACCGGTACCTTTTGGTATCACTCCCACTTCGGTATTACCTTCCTCGTGGTGAAGGACAAAGCCGCTAACTTCTCTCCTAATAGGGACGCAGTACTGCGATGGTCTCCGAGGTCCGTTGGTGGTATATGACCCCCGCGATCCTCACAGAAATCGGTATGACGGTGAGACATTTCCCCATTGTTCGGCGCATGTCAGTGGTGCTCAAGATTAATTCATCATAGTTGACGACGGTAAACAGAAGTCCTTTGGTCAGTAGGTGCGAAATTTGATGAATATCACAGAGTCCACGATCATCACCCTCAGTGACTGGTACGTATCGCAACTCCTTAGGCGGCATGTCATAGAGAAACTTAGCGTGGACGTTTACCTCGTTTAGGTACCATCTTCCGTCACCTTCAGTCCCAGTCCCAGCCATGTCCGATTCTACCCTGATCAACGGGAAAGGGCGATACGTTAACGGACCCAAAGTAGACCTTGCCGTGGTAAACGTTCGGCGCGGACGCCGTTACAGGTTCCGACTGGTATCTCTGTCTTGCGACCCGAACTACATGTTCTCAATCGACGGTCATAAGTTAACCATAATCGAGGCGGATGCTCAAAGTACACAGCCCCTCACAGTTGACAAGATCCAGATCTTTGCTGGTAAGTGAACACCGTGGTCCTCCCCTGCCAATTTTAATTGCGATCTCGACTCTCCCTTTTTCTCCAGGTCAACGCTATTCATTCATACTTGAAGCGAACCAGAAAGTCGACAATTACTGGATTCGCGCCCTTCCCAACATCGGTGCTCCCGGGCTCACCTCTGGTTTCGCCGGTGGTATCAATTCAGCTATTTTGAGATACAACGGCGCTCTGAAGGCTGATCCGACTTCGGCGCAACCAGCTAACCCCAAGCTCCTCGAGGAGGCCAACCTACACCCGCTCACGAATCCCCGCGCTCCTGGAAAGCCTTTCCCAGGCGGCGCGGACGAGAAGTACAACTTCGTGCTTGGGTTCAATAATGGGGATTTCACGATGAACGGGGTGTCATTCAGTGACCCTCCCGTTCCTGTCCTCCTCCAGGTCTTGAGTGGCGTGCAAAACGCTCAGGACTTGCTTCCAAGTGGTTCTGTTTATCCGTTAAGGCCGAATAAGGTGGTCGAGATTAGCATCCCAGGTGGCTTACTTGGTGGACCGGTGAGTGATCCCCACTTCTTTCTTTCATTCCATCGACCTCGACACCTGATGAAATCTCCCGCCCTTCCCTCTCGCCGCACAGCACCCTTTCCACCTGCACGGCGTAAGTGTTTATCATCGTCCGCATACTGAAACTGTCTGATCTCTCCCCATTGTGCATGCAGCATGCATTCAGCGTCGTCAGGAGCGCTGGCGCTAACGCCACATACAATTATGATAATCCCGTCCGTCGTGACGTTGTGAGTATGGGCGACCAGGGCAGTAATGTCACCATTCGTTTCGTCACCGACAACCCGGGGCCATGGTTCCTCCATTGGTAAGTCGCCCCCGAATGCCCGAGATCTATATTAAACACCCATCGCTTCAGCCACATCGAGTTCCATTTGGCCGCGTAAGTCCTACTTGCAATTCTTGTCGTCATTTCGCAGTAACTGATAAGGTGTTTGAATATGGAAGGGGTCTCGCCGTCGTCTTTGCCGAAGACGCTGAGGCCATCGAGTTCAAGAATCCCACACCAGGTGGGTTCTACTGTGCATTGATTTCTCTCCGTCAACTGAAGTTTTGATCGCAGCGGCTTGGGATCAACTGTGCCCCATCTACGAACGCCTGCCAGCGTCTGCAACTTCCATTCGCATCGTCCCTACTTCAACTCCGAATGCGACACTTCCGGCTCCCTAGTTGCGTCCCTTCTTTCTGGTCGTTAATTACCACCACTCTTTGATTGCTTAAGGGCTTATTTATTGCTTATATTACCTATTTACGTCCTATTTTCTGTATACTGCCTTGTACGTTTGATCATAATTATGTAAATGGACATTTCATCTTGCTGCGTGAGCTGGTCTGAATCTCGAGTGGGCCAAGATCCCAGCGAAAATTTCTTGAATCGAGGGAGGTGGATGTACATAAGCCGCTGTCCGCAGTCGTGCAGTTCTGGTATTTCCTAAGCCTGGTATCTTGCTACTTCCACCCAGGTATGAACACGACACCAAAATAATGAATTCTGCGAGCCAGTGAGGAGGTCCAATATGTACGGGATCATACAGAGTCTGTATTGAAGGACACAGGAAACGACATGAAGGATCACTGGTGTCGAAATACAGTTCAGAACTCGAGGCACAGGCACATTTACCCGCTCTGCATGTGTCGAAGCTGCGGGTGTCGACAATATCTCTGACTGCTTAACCTTCCGCAGTCAGCTTGTTGATAGTGTTCATAAATGACCGGCATCGAGGCAATCACCTTCCTTCTCACAGCGAATAACTCTGGTATGTTGCCCTGTTCGCTCCCCACTCTTCGAATTCGAAGTACTTAACCGCCGGAGTTCCACAGAGAGTGGTCTTTTCGGTATGACCGCCCCATCCATCGAGAGCCTCGTCGCCGCCTCGCAGGGAGAGCTACAAACCAAGGAATTATTCACGGACTACGAGAGTCAGATGGGGCTCTACTACGACGCTACCAAAGGACACGCCCACACCATCGATACCCACTCTTGGAGGCAAACCATATTCTCCCAGGAACTATCCGCCTAGATGACCTCGAGAGCCAGGCCGGGGCCAGCGTGCTCACTCCGGAGGGCGGGCACTGGCGTGACAACGACGGGCCAGAAACGGCGCGGGTTGTGGCACAAGTCCAAGGAGACTTTCATGGAGATTGGGAAGGGCTCTTTGATTATTATCGTCACTTCCTTCGCCATGGCAGGTTTGCTCCTCTATGGGTGCGGCATGATTTTCGGAGGCTTGTTTTTAAAGGCATCGGGTCTTTTGGCAAGCTAACATTCAGGGTAGTGCTAGGTTTGTTAGTTTAATGTTAGTAACCTAGGGGTATATGACAAGTAGCTTACATGTTCATAAAGGCTAGGAACGGAGGATTAAGAGTTGAGCAGGTAATTTTTTCCCCTCCGAGTCCTTTGCTCTTCCATATGCAAAATGTAAAGCCACATTCATTCACTTATTATACTGGCTTCCGCCGGCAACAGACTTTCTCCTATAATTGCTATTATTTCTTGGGCTAAATTTCAGCGAATTGCACATCATGGAGGTGAAGTTGGACCCGAGATATTGATCGTCGAAGGAGCTAGGACCCTGAATTCCAAATATGGTGCAAACTTCCATATGTGGTTGTACGGAAATCAACGGCATCGTGCCGGTAGTTCAGGCACATCAGGGGTGCTGACAAACAGCAACTTGGTGTCCCCTCCACGAATCTGTAAGTCTGACGAACTCGGCCACGAAGTACTGCTACTGCAGAGTCGATCTCATGGTGTCCTAACGCTCAATTGTGAGTCACTATTACCATGGGCTTTTCACTACTTTCACATACGGTTAACTGATGATGGCAGTGCAGGCCTCGAAACGGTCGCTGCATCAACAGGTTCATCAGCCGTGGACAGGAAAGCGCAGCGCAGCTTACGCTCTCTGCTAGAGCGGTATCCGCAGTCACTCCAGCGCCTTCAAAGCATTCGAGTCACGACCGCCTTCCGAATCTTCGACCCCTCCTACGACCGACAGCCGTACCATAAAACCGCGTTTTACCCCTACGCAAGAAGATGATAATCGACAAGCAGCCTCTTCCCGATGACCCAACTCCCAGCGAGGCGCCTCCCTCATATGAAACACTGGGGTCTTTACCCCATGATTATCGGCCCGAGAAGTCTGGGGTAGGGCGCGGCGAATCTGTAGCGTCCTCCTCATCGTCGGTGCCGCCACTTCGTTCTGACAATTCACCCCCACTCAAATCTCCTCGATCAACGACATCCAGCAACAAAGGGAAAGGACGAGCAACAACCTGGTTCAATTTTTCCTCCTCCAAGACGACCCGCGAAGTACAAACGACCGTTCGGGGGCTTGTACGGGACCTCATCCAGCAGCACATCGCCGACGCGGACACAGCAGCAGCTAGCATCCTTCGCTCGTGCGCCGACGCCTGCGCCGACAACCACGTCTCGCTCTCCGACCTGCTCCAAGAGAAGTCGATCGAGGGACACACGCCCTTGTACTGGGCCATCGTCAAACGCCTGCCAGACGACCACCAGGACGTCGAAGCAGGGCAGTGCCCCGACCTCCTCACCTCCATAATCTCGTTCGCCACCCCGCTAAAGCCAGAGACGATCACGGAAGTGAGGCTCGCGTGTCTGGCGACGTCGGATCAGAAGCTGTTTCAGAGGTTGCGGCTGTCGCCCGAATTCGCCCCGGTGTCGGGGGTGAATCAGATGCTGTTAGGTGGCACGATTCCTCCCGACGAGATTGAGGTAGAGGATGTCTCTTCGGATGGAGGGGCATTTGTGATGTCGTTCGTAGTGCCACATTTTCATAAGAGGATGTCGGTGTCGAAGGAGGTCGAACTGGAGTTTATTGCGAGAAGTGAGTGTATTTCGATTCTGCAAATATTATGTTCTGACGATTATTAGGTCGGATGTGGCGATTGGCGTTCTTCATCGCACCAGAAAGCCCGTATCGAGGGTCCGATCCTCGCGCTGGTTCATGGTGTATCTCCCTCTCCCTCATCGAAAATAGTCCTCCGACCTTCCTCGATTCCCAGCTTCTCATAGACGAAGCCAAGACTGATCCTCCAGATTCTGCTTCGTTGAAAGAACCGTCTTCACCACCTCGGTCAGGCTTCCGTTTGCCAGCAAGCCCGATCCAGCCGAAGCCTAAATCAACTATCACTCTGCGGCTCAAGTCGAACGAGCAGCTGGAGGTGGCCGGTAGATATAACAGCGGGAAGAATATTGTTATTTCTCTGGAAGATAGTTTGATGGGTGCGAATTTACAGTATGGGTGAGTAGTGTTAGTTGTCATTTGCGTATCTTGTTCCGATGTCATTTCATGCCAGGAATAATCCGTACATTGGGTCTGATGAAAAGCTTCGAGGCCGTCTTGAAGCCAGGCTTGGAAAGCCAGAGCGTGATGACGAATGTGTTATCTGCTAAACGTATACCTGGGATGGATCTCTTTATTTGCAGACTGTATCTTTCGTCGACTTGTATGTGCAATTATGAGCCCTGTTGCCCCGGGTTATAAACTGGTCGGCCCTAGATCTCTTCCATGTTCGTAATTATAAGGTCACCTGGTTACATCCAGAACGACGATGGCAGTGCTCATCACAACAAATGCCGGCCCAATTATATTTCCATCCTTGGTCTCTTGACCTCCAGTTCAATCATGTCTAACGAAAAGGACACTCTTTCTTCCACCAACCATGATGCACCTCCTCAAGTTTCCGAACCACCCCCTTCATACGAAAGTATCAATGCCCTCAGCACCCTAACTCGCACCCAAGGCGCCATCCGACTCTCACAATCACCCCCGAGCAATACACCCCCTCCGCCACCCTTTCGACCACCAGCACCGCCGGCAAGACAGCATACCCGATCCTTGAGCTCGTCGTCCGTCAGCAGCCTCAAGTCCAAGAAGAGCTGGTTCGCTTTCTCCTCGTCCTCATCTACATCCACACCGCCACGGCCGCCGAACGAGATACGATCGACGGTGCTGAACCTGGTGCGGGACCTGGTGCAGGAGCACAGCGCGGGGTCGCCGGCGGCACTGGGGATCCTACAGAGCTGCGCGGACGCGTGCACGTCGCACTCGGTGTCGCTCGCGGAGATCCTGCAGGACAAGTACATCGAGAGCCACTCGCCGTTGTACTGGGCGATCGTCAAGCGATCGGGTGCATCGGGGCATGGACAGGAGGATGGCGAGCAGGAGCCTGACCTGCTGTCTGCGCTCCTGGAACGCGCTGCCCCACTGGCGGCGGACACGATCACCGAGCTTAGGCTGGCATGTCTGGCGACGTCGGATCAGGCGATGTTCCAGCGTCTTCGTATCCTACCACAGTTCAAGACGGTCTCGGGGGCGGACCAGATCATCCTAGGAGGTGCTATTACCCCGGACGATGTTACGGTTGAGCTCGGGGCCGGAACGGAGGGTGCGTTTTCGACGATGTTCGTGGTGCACCAGTTCCATAAGCGGATGATGATATCGAAGGAGATTAGGTTGGAGTTTGTAGCGAGAAGTGAGCCGTTCTCTACCTTTGTATTTTCGATATTTTCTGACCGTCTGAAGATCGAATATGGCGGTTCTCGCTACTGATAACGCCCGATGACGCGTGGTACGGACCCCCACCTGGATCGTGGTGTGCATCTATTTCGCTACAGGAGCCCAGCCCTCCGACATGGCTCGACGCCCGTCTGGTGCTTCCCGATGCTCAAGATTCTCCTCTTCCACAACTGCGTCTGAAGTCAAAGCAGATGATGGAGGCACCACGCAAGGATGTACCTGCGACACAGGTGGTCGTGGCGATGGACGATAATCCGGCTTTCGCCAGCCTTCAGTATTCGTGAGTGGGCTGCCGATTGAAAGGTTGGCCATCACTAACGATGCCCCAGAGGCAGCAGCTACGTTTCTGCCGATGAGACACTGAAACTGAGATTAGATACGAAGCTGCGCAAGCCTGATCCGACGGCAGTGTGACAGCCGTATTTTTCCTGAGGGCCAGAGGTGGGGAAAGAAGCTGCTGGTGAGTTGGACCAACTATCGTCCGTTCTGCTTGTCTGATTTTTGTCCGCGTAGTGCCCTCGTAACTGAATGTAGAATCTAATTTATCTACTTCGCAGAAGATATAATAATTGCCACCGTTGTCTATTCATGACGGGCGTCTGCCGATCTATCCGTGTGTCGTGTCTTCAAAGCTTCGAATTCCTATCGCTACGAGCCTTCCCCCAAGCTTTCTTGTCAGTTTCCGCCTCAAATCAATTTCACTTGGCAGAGATCTCGTGAGGTGGTTCGCCCTCCCTCGTCAGCTCATGCTGCGGGATCATACCCAAGCTCGCAAGTGTCGCCACCGCTGTCGAGGTCGCATTCAGCGGAACCCATGCACGTACCTATCTCTACAATGTCGATGGCGGTGGTGGGCAGGAGACCGGAAGTGGTCGGAGGGAAGAGCGTGGATGGATTATCGATGATCGCTGAGGAGCGTGGCTGGGGGGGAGTGTATTGAGGTAGGAGGGCAGCTGTTGCTGAGCATGGAAGATGAGGAAATGGGCGTTGGAATTTCGAAGGCAAACTCGGGTTCCTAGAGGACGGGAAAGCTGATTTTCAGTAACGAGGGCTATTTTCTCTATTTATCAAAAGTTTGGTTGTCATTGTAGGCTACTGCTTCTGTATCTTGAACCGCACTCCTCAACGGCCTATATGCCAGACAATTATTTGCATAATTACTTATCAGGTGAGAGGGAATGTACATACCTGCCTAATCGACGGTATAAACCTGCACGATATCTTCTTCAGTCAGAGCTAAGAGTTCCGGTAGGATTTTCGTCTGGCGTTCCGTTGAAATTCGCTCTGGAAAACCAAGGACGATGGTGTTCAATTGAACGGAATCGAGGATCGTCCAGAGAGTGTTCACTTTCGCCTTCCTCTGGCCCGGGTCCGTACCAGCTTTTTAACGATCTGCTAAATCATCTTGGTGGCCTGAGGCAAAATAGGTAAAGTGTTGACTAGTGCAACATAAGCTATCCGTGCGTTTTCTCAAAGAGTATTGTAGGCGCTCACGGACGTTCCTTGGTATGGATATCATTTATACCGCATTCCGGTTTCTCTGCCGTTGGGTTGGCTTTGACAATAGAACCGATGAACATTTCATGACCTATTTTCCAGTGAGAAGAGTTTCGCAACGCCCGAAGTCAAAGGCCAATCTTTCGGGTCTGGAGTTGTTCTGAAGGCTCTGGGTAAAAGAGAAAGCATGATGGTCAAGGGGTTACAAGCCATTCCGGGGAGTGATATGCATTTCGAAGAGCTGAAATTTATTGGGGGGAAATGACTCTTGAGTTGTAGAGGCGCTTTGTAGCTGATACGACCATTGAAAGTTTGTTGGAAGCACCACTACGGCCGAGGCCGTTGATGGATCGGAATAATGCGGCGCCAATTGCCGATGAACTGGTGACTGGAACAACTTGAGCTCTTGCCACTACGGTTGTCTGTATAGCGCTCTTATGGAGGCCTTGACCGCACTGCTTCTGAAAGTTTCTTCTCTGACGTGCGAAGCCTGGATACTCCGTATTGGAGCTCATGTCAGCAATCAAGTTGACCGGTTTCCCATGTCACTGACGAAAGAGAGCTACACCAACGCCCTATGACCCCACTACACTGGAGAGACCCCGTTCGAAGCTCCAACTTCTTGGAGGCAGCTGACGACGCTTCTCCCTATCTATCATAACATAAAAGCTTAGATTTCGTCTCTCGAACATGTCACTTAAGCTCTCCAACCCTCCCTTTCTATCTGTCTCGACTTGAACCTCATGATGGATCCTGACACTACCGCTTTCCTCGCCAGCGCACTTCTATTCTTTCTGCTTTACGAAATAATTCAGCACTTTACTCGTCGCCGGCGTCAAGGACCATACCCACCTGGCCCGAAGCCCTGGCCAATGATAGGGAACTGGTTTGACATACCGTTCTACCGACCATGCGAGACATATCTGGAATGGGGGAAGCACTACAACAGTAAGCCGAAGCATCTTTGGTTAATGCAATGTCTCTAATTGCCCGGGCAAGGTGATATCCTTCACACCGAGGTCTTTGGGCAGCATACCGTTATCATCAATTCAAGAGAAATTGCGGACGAGTTGCTCGAAAAGCGTACGAGGAATACCTCTGGACGGATCTATTTCCCTATTACACAGCTGTGGGTGACGTCGTCTTTTGATAACTATGCAAGGATTGATGTTGAAACCAAGTCTGGACTGGGGCTATAATATCGCCCTCATGGTTTATGGCGACGAGTGGCGAAGGCACCGTAAAGCATGCCAGCAGCACCTCAACCGCGAAGCTGCCAAATCGTACCAACCGATCCAAATTAAGAAAACCCACGAAGCTCTCCTCGCATTGCTTCAATCCCCGGAGAAATTCGCTGCCCATAACAGAATGTGCGTACTCTTTTCCATCTTTCATTTCGTCCCCAGAGCTTTGAGGCAATCATAACCGTAAATTAGGCATTCCCTCGGCATTACGATGGACATGATGTATGGTTATCAGCTTAAGTCACTCGATGACCCTGTTATATCAGCTGCGAAGAAAGCCATCGAGCTCGGAAATCAGGTGTGGTCCCAGACTGGGAGCTTGATAAATACTTTCCCGATTCTGGGTCGCGTTCCTACTTGGGTCCCTGGAGCGATGTCTCAGAAGATCACGAAGGAATCGGCTCGGTGGACTGCGGTGATGAAAAGCATCCCTTGGGAGGACACCAAGCGACGAATGGTGAGCATAACTCCAACCTCATAGCTTATTCTTACACGCACGCAAATTGTTTATCAGGCCGAGGGAAATATCACTCCGTCTCTGTTGACTCAGTTCTTGGAGAGGAAGGCTACAGTTGGCGCCTCTGAAGAAGAAGAAGAGATTCTGAAAAACGTAGCTTACACTGTTTACGGGGGTAAGTTATATTTCTTCGTCTCTCTAACTCTCGAAGTCTGACTACGTGCTATTCATCACGACCACTTTTACAGCTGCATCTGATACGGTAAGAATCCCAGCCTATCAATCGAATCCAAGGTTTCTGAGCGGAATTGACAGACGGAATCCGCTACAGGAACCTTCTTCTACGCCATGGCCAAGAACCCTAACGTGCAGAAGAAAGCCCAGGCGGAAATCGACCGCGTCGTCGGCACGAATCGTCTTCCAGATTTTACAGACCGGTCCTCGCTTCCATACATCGAGGCTATCTACCGCGAAGTCATGCGCTCCGCCCCACCTCTCCCACTCGGCCTTATGCATACCCTTGCCGAGGATGATGTCTGCGAAGGCTACTTTCTTCCCGCAGGTAAGTTGTCAAATAGCCGGCTGTTGATTCTTTTTTGTCTGAACTCATCCGTAGGAACCCAAGTTTTCCCGAATATTTGGTACGCCTGCTCACACGGTTTTCGATTGAAGTCCCTGTCAACGCGAGTCCCCTGTCCAGGGCTATTACGCATGACCCAAATACGTATAAAGACCCGCATGCCTTCCAGCCCGAGCGATTCTTCAACGAGGATGGCACGCTGAACGACGACGATCGCATACTGGCTTTCGGATACGGACGGAGGTATGTATTCTCAAGGCTCGAATCTGCACACAGAAGCTCATGAGTCTCTCACTAGAGTCTGCGTTGGGAAGTACGTCGCAAGTTCTACCGTGCGTCCTATCTGTCTTTTTCCTGTACCTCGTTCTAACTCTTTACATGGTTCATACTGTCAGATGTGGATTACCATCGTATCCATCCTTGCCTGCTTTGACATTGGGAAGGCGAAGGACGAACGTGGAAACGATATTGAGGTCGACGACGAGTACGTCGAACATGGTCTCATTTGGTACGTTCCTCTTTCTCGATATGATTCTTTGTCTGACGCGACCTTTCAGCCATAAGAAGCCATTCAAGTGCTCGATTACCCCGCGTTCGAACTTGAGCCGCAAATTAATTGAAGAGGCTGCAGGCGAGTGTAAGTGATGTAATTAGCGGAGAGGAGGCTTTCCGGTCTCAGGGAGTCGGCCTTGTGGAATGAATACAGGAGGCATTAGCGACATCGATGAGTAGGTCCAGGATCTAGAAGAATCCCAGCTTAAAGTCAGCCGTATGTAACGGAGACGAACTTGGAGCACGAATATGCTTTGTACCTCTGAAACTTGATATCTATAAAGAAAGACACTATGTTCCGGTGGAGACCTCCAATAGAGCCACCCGGTACGAACGGCAGAGATGTACAAACTTGGTACGAAAGCTAGGCTCCAAGGGCCTATCATTCCTCCTGCTCGCCGTCTCCAGTTCCTTCTTATCGCTGGTCCTCATCCTCGCTGTCGTAATCTGGTTCCTCCAAAAATTCTCCGATGGAGTCGCCAAAATCGCTTCTGTATATGTCGTAGATTTGCCTGGCCAGGGTCCGAGTGACATCCTCCCATCCTTCTTGATGAAGCTCTTCTGCTACCTCTTCAAAAGCTCTGATGTCAAACCGGTCCCCTGCCCAATCTCCTTCAGTCAAATTAAGCTCTCCTTCGTACCCCATCGAGCATGATCCGTCGCTTGACCATGCACAGCGCGCGAGCAACACCTGGCCCAAGTGAGGAGCGACACCAAACCTCTTGTTCCCGTAGCGCATCGGACTCGACTCGTTGAATGTGGGGACGCCATTGGATCGTATGTAAAGCTTCTTGTTCAAATTGCGTAGGATCCAGAGACTGTCTTCGTGAATCGCTCTCCAGTGGATGTAGATTCGTTGAACCCGACGTGAACGCCGATACACAAGATATACGAATTCTTTTTCACCGCTTTCGTCGTTTTCTTCGTCCTCTGAGTCTCTGTCGCTCTCGGAGTTCCCCTGGGGCATTTCTGCGAGTACGTCGAGATCCGGGTCGCAAATCGAGTCGGGTGGCATCGTTTCCGAGTAGTCGCCGAGAAAGAGAATACGACTTCCAGCCCAGTCACCAGGAGAAGAACCAGGGTCCTCTAATCCATCGCGTCCCAGGGATCTCTCGTCCTGTGTTCGCACTTCCATTGGTGAAGGAGGCACAAGGAGTCGGAGCATCACGTCTTCATGCGGGTCGTATACCGTCTCTCCGTACTTGCAGCCGCATCCCTTTGATTCCGCCTTGTCTATGGAGACCCACTTGAAATCTTGGCCCATTTTGCTGCAGAAGAAAAGAGGAAGTTAGAATGTCTGAAATGTAGCTCGCTCGTCTCAGCCACCGGCATTTGAAATGGCGCCGGCATCAGCCGTAGACGGCTTCAACGCCCGGGCTCTTTCTCAGAGCAACCTGGAGCAACTCTGAAACTTCTGAAAAGATGAAGTGTTGAGCTAGTATACATGATGCAGGAAGACCGAATTAATCGACAATCACAATTGCAAAGCAACGAAAAATGCCAACGACCCCATCAACGCTCCCAAACTCACGACCGAGATGCTGCCGACAATTGCAGATGCTCCACCCGTCGACGTTCCTGAAGTAGACGTAGAGATTGGGCCTGCGTTGCCAGTAGGCGAACTGGTTAGGGTTCCTCGGAGGGCGTTAGCGTTATTAATGTTGTAGGATTGGCTTCCATCCACAGCGACGGCTGAACAAAACGGATTAGAAAGAGCTAGAAAGAACGAAAACGAACGCGCTTACTAATGTAAGCGAGGAAACCGTCGTTGGTCGTAGAACCGAGGCGTTGAAGGCTGATTTCGACGAAAGGTCAGCGTATATTTGAGTGAGATACAGCAGAAGAACTCACTTGAGGAAGGCAACGCCTCCTGATTGTGCAAGGATCCTGTCCGCGCTGTTACGCAGGCGCGTCTGGGTGCTGGAGGTATACGGTGATTGAGCGTAGACCTCATCGTTCCAGCTCTCTTCGAAGAAGAATTGACCGATGTGAGTCAAGGTGCCAGACTGTGAGATAACAGTTCTGGGAAAAATCGACGCGGTTTAGAGCATCCTTCATAAAAGTGAGTATAAGACGCACCCGTTCGGATTCGTCTCTACGTTCCTATGGACCATTGTATGAATGTGTGCCGTTCGGCCAGTGTAATACCCGGGGTAGATGCTCGTGATTTCGACGATGCCCTGGTCGTTCGTGAAGTAGCCGCCTCGCAGGAAGGTGTCGATGTTGATGTTCGTTGGGGCACCTTGTCGGCCGACGTAGCCTCCATAGGCGCCTGTTGCGTTTGCTGAAGAAGAGGAAGTTCAGTGAGAATCTAACGCAACAGGTAGGAGAACTCCATACCCTGCCACAGTTCTACAAAAGCATTTGAGAAGGGCTCGCATGTCGTCGTGTCAATCACACCAATGTCGAGGATAAGCTTAACACCACTATGAGGAAGAAGTATTATCAGTCCAGCGTAGAGTCAGAATACGGTCAACATACGCTTGATTTTCACGAAGATCAGTTCGAATGAACTCGTTGTTGATATAATACGGCCCTTCCGTGACTTCCGGAGCAGTTACGCAGGTCGTCTTTAAATGAGTGAGACGATCATCCACAAGTCGAAAAGGGGAACATGAAAGGGGAGACATACGTTCTGGATACTCGTGTAATACGGAGCAGCAGCCGATGACGTTGAGGTGCTTGCTGCCTGCCTCTTTGCGAAAGGTAGTCGGGCGTTTCGACGCCTGAGCTCGAAGTCGGCGATGGCACTTGCACAGTTCCGAGCCTTGAGGTTGCGGGCATGCATCGCGTTCTGAAGTACAGAAGGTGTTCCGTCAGGAGGTAGTCAAGACTGAGAATGCTTGAACTCACTTCACGCGCTACGACCTCAGCCTCCTCCACATCCTCGTGTTCCTCTCCTGGATGGGCTGAGAGGATGTGAGATAAAGTCAGTGGGAGGAGTCAGAAAACAGACCAGAAGCGAGGATGGAAAGGGCGGCCAACTGGAGGACTGTTGAAAATCGCATGATAGGCGGCCCGGGACGGGAGGAGGTGTTAGAGGGCGAGGGCGAGGACGGGGAATGTGAAGTGAACACGAACCATGGTCCTCGCCTTATATCCCCGGGCACGAGCCAGACAAGAATAATTCACGAGCCAAACGCGTACGTCGAGGACGACCTCTCGCATTCATCACGTCGATGAAGCTTGGACGAGGGAACTGAGGTGGGAAAGGTCCCATTAGGAAGGCCTTGGCACTTCTGGGGCTGCGGACGTCGACGGGGGCGATATTTCGGAGGCCCTAGCGCGGAGAGAGCGATCAGCACGACCGTCTGGCGAGGCCACAATAATAACGAGGTGATGACGTTGGTTAGAATTCGGGCCCCAGCCATTGGTGTGCGATGGACCGGAGTGGATAGATGAAAGGCACAGGTGAGGTCGCGAAGCGGCTGGCAAATCACCGTTCCGCAGTTTGTTGGCAGCGACAGGTCGGTCGTCCGCAGTATCGCATGTACACGGAATCCTATGTCTGCCTCCCAAGATCATTATTCCCGATTTCGTGCGACGATACATTCTCGTCGATTGTGCAAAGCAAGAGAAGCTACAACGCTCGCTCGTTGCTCGCTCGCTAAGTCGCAAGAAGATAATGAATCAAGAACAGGCTACGAGAAATGGCATGACACGCACAGCTCGCTGTTTAATTCAATCCAACCTTATACAATATTAATGACTTCTCTGCAACTTCTCTGCACAGTGTGATGGCTGAGGACAAGTTTCGACATGGCACGCAATCCGCGGTCGCGGTGGAGATTACATAAGGGCAGCACCTCCGACATCAGATAAGATAAGCAGATAAACTCCTAGGCATTGATACGAGAACATCGGAAAGGAAGATACCTGGACCAAGACATCGAATTCAGACGAAAATCACCCTGACAAGCCATCGTGGAATTACAGAAGACCAGAGTTAGCCTGAAGGAGCACACGTTTACTCCAGAGGGAGAACCTAGGAGGAAGCTGGATCCGCGGATCGAGTTTACAGTAAACTGTGGGGGTAAATACGGAATATTCATGCTCAGTAGCAATTATCTTGGACACTTGGAAAAATCACAAAGTCTGACTGCAAGGTAGGGCTTATCGAGTCCTAATGGCATTGAATGACCCACTCGGGCCTCGGCCTTCCAATTGAAGAGCGAATTCTTATATCAGAAACTTAGAAATGAATGAAACCATTCCCGAGTCATCAATAATGGCATGCCATAATCCCGGTTCATATTGAAAGAAGCCACTTGACCGGCTCATTAAGGCAACATGACTTGGCCAGTGTTCTTACGTGGGAATTAATACGGGCGCCTATCAAGCGCCTATAGGACAACGTGACCAGAATGAGTCACATCACTATTGACGAGATCCCATTTGGCGAGGCTGTAGCACCGGAAGTGGGCTAGTAGCGCGCCACGCTGTAGGTCCTATGTCTGTGGGCGCGTCAACGAGGCGATACCAGTCATAATACCGTGTGCCTCGGCCCCGCGTTATCAAGGTCTTCGAGGATAAAAGACGGCTCAACCTTCAGCTTTTCGCATCCCACCTATCGAGATGTCGGATACAGCTACAGAACCAGTCCGAGTCTCCCCTGAGGTCGTCGACTCTCTTCCTCCTTCTCGGTCTCCTTCCCCCCTTCCCCCAAGTGGTGGAGTGCCAATTGCATGGAGTCCAGTACCTCCGATACTTGGAAATCACATTCCCATGGGCTTCGTGCTGTTCACTTTGCAGCTGCCCAATACGCGCCGCAGGTCGTTCCCTACCGGGAATAATAGTCAAGGGGCGCTTGTACGCAGACCAGAGTCGTACCAGGTCGGTCCTCCCACTTCCTTACTTTCATTTAACGCACTGATGCATATCATTCCAACAGGCAGCAGCAAAGGTCGCACTCCGATTCCTCGGTGATATGTTGGGGGTTACTTCAGTGGACGACATCCTCCTCAAACGAGCTGTTCAGCACCCAAATAACTACGGCGACCCGGTGTACGCCGCATTCGACCCGGAGGACTGGGACGCCATCATCGTCGGCCAGACGACGGAGATTGGCGTCTACAAGGTCCCCAAAGCTGTTGAAGTTCCTGCTCACCTCCCTTTTGAACCCCAGCCTTTCCCGCCGGACTCCCCGTACATGACGCCAGCCCCAATGCCCATCTACCCTGACGTCACTATAAGCAATTGGCTTAATGCGAAACCGATCCCGCCTGAGCCTGTCAACGAGCCGAAGACGATGCAGCTAACCTGGGAGGCGAAGGACGAGATGGCTCTCGTGAACGTTCCGCCAACATACGAAGCCTGCGAAAAGCTCGCGAGGGAGGTGTTCAAGCCGAAGGGTGGTGACCCGATGTCCTTGAAGGCGGCGGTGCGAAGTCCGAATGGAAACCCGGGAAAGCTGCTCATTCATCCTGGCGTGTACGAAACATCGGTGCTCAACTACTACGGGCAGCTCCAGCTGTACGTCAACTTCGGGGATGAGGGCAGAGATACAAAGGATAGTGGGAAGGCCCAGAATCGCGACATCGACGAGTTCCTCATGATATAGGCTTTGGGTTCGTGGTAGAAATGTACAATAGATATATGGAATGGTATGGACTTTGTGTAACACCATCGACCGTAGCAGGAGTGATTCATGCTAACGAAGTATTGGACATGCTCTCACTAAGATGATGCTCGTAGTCTTTGTCTGATTCTACTTTTTCAACAGGTGCTTGCGATGCTGGAATGGGGATTCGCTTGCCTGTCAGAGGATCCCATCTGGTCTTCCTCCTCATACGGCGAGAAAGTTCATGCTGGCAAGAGCTCTCAGCCGAAGACAGGGTGCTTTCTGGAGGAGTGGCCTCCGTCTTCGCGGTCTGGGCCTCTGTGGGTTCCTCAGGAGGTGGATGCGAAGGAATGATAAGCACTGGAGGTCCGAGCGTTCCAATAGGCTCGGTCAGAGTTTCGTCGTGTGTGTCCTAACGGGCAAGACATACACCTGGATGAGCTACGTAATAAGGAGTAAAGAGTTGACAAAGAGTATACGCACCGAACGGTAGCTTTCGGGTGTCTGGATGTAAAAAACTGGAGGAGGTTGTAGTATCTCAGCGTCTGCAAAGCGGACTCGCTTATGACCGGTCCGCTTGGGACTTAGTTCATTCCCTCCATCAGTGCTTGAACTTTGGCTATCCTCAGAGTCCGAGAAGCGTCGCTTTCCCAGAATGCCGTGGAGGGGATGTGATCCTCCGTGAGAAGGCCTCCCTTCTCCCGGAGACACTTGGGCTGTCGTGAGACGCTGCAGACGGGGTGTGGGAGGCTTCGGGGATCAGCCATCGAACAATGACGACGATGACTCGAAGCTCACAGGCGTAATGAGACCACGGGTAGAGGAACCCGAGTCGTCGCTGTCCGGAGATGCTTTGAGCGGACCAGATACCTGGGGCTTGCGGAGTGAGTTTCCCATTACTCAACAAACGGAGAAGGACAAAGACTACCTGTATCGCGGTGACTGACTGATTCAGCAACGACGAATGAGGAGTAACAAGGCCTTTGAGCTCCGCGATCTCAGAACCGAGCTTATCCGCCTGCATCTCGAGGGTTGCGCAGGTCGACTTGAGCGTGCCAAGCGCCGTGCGGATGTCGCTGAGTCCGAGCTCCATCCTCTCCATCCTGCTAAGTAGCCTTGCCTCAGGCGTTGTAGGTGATGGCGTATACCTGAGCGGAGGGTCATTCCCCAGCGTAGCAGGGGATCCGATCGATGTCGTTGGGCTAGAAGAGTTCATGGTGGTCGTCGTGTAGAGGATCGATGGGGAAGTGACATCGAAGGCGGTCCGAGTGAGTGAAAGGCTGAAATAGTGCCGCGCGAGGGCCACGAGGTTTTCGGGCGACTTGGGATCAGGTGCTGTCGAGCCAAATTTGTCGTGATTAGTTATGTCACTGACAGGAAAGGTTCAAGCTCAGAGCTTCGAGAACAATAAATGTGTCATTCTATACACGAAGACATTGCAAGTCTGTGGAAAGGTCAATCAGAGATGCGCTTGTCCAGTTCACTTTCGCTCGTGAGCGGGCTACTCTCCTGCTCCTCCATCTGAAGGACCTTGTACGTCTTCTTCCTCTCTCGTGCACTCCGCGTTGGCGTAGGAGAAGCAGATGGAGGAGCGTGTTTGGAGGGCAGGGCTGTCCTTGGCGTGCCCTTCTTGCGTATCCGCGCGGGCCCTTGACACTCAGCGGCTTCTGAGGTCTTCTGTGCGTCTGCATACGCACGGGCCTTTTCGTGGCTGTACGAACTACATTCGACTCTGACAATGCTGATTCCCTGCAACGTACTCAGGAACCAAAAGGGAGGAGGGAAAATAATGCTCTTACCTCTTCTCCACGTTCGAATGCCCCAAGAACATCATCTCTTGTCAAGCCATCTTTGTACGCTTTGTCCTTGTTAAGTTTGGTCTCTTGCTGAATCTGATCTTGCGTGGGTTCGTCACCCAACCGCTTTCGTAACGCTATCCGGGCTCGTAGCTGCCGATACACGAGATGGCGTCGTCGTTTTAGAACGGAATCTCCCCAATTCAGCTTTACCTTATGACTTCGTGAGCGTAGACATCTAGAAGAGGAGGAAAAGACCATACGTTCAACGCTTGACCCGTAAATTCGTCCGCAGTCATAGCACCAACAACATGGCAAGTATATTCGCCAGCATAGTCGTAACGAACGAGCTTGCCTCCTGGAACTTGAATGAACAGCGTCCACGGACCGCCCTTGCACATTTCCTCTCGACAGCTGAGAAGCAAGCCTGGCTCTCCGGGTTTACGAGGTGCTTCAGGATTGAGGTCAGAGGTCGGTAGCAGGAATCTGTGCGTTTTGTCCTTCGATATCCAGAGCAGCGTTCGTCCAGCCAAACCGTACTTCTCCGTAAGGGCCTTCCGTGAAACGCGTACAGGAACAGGAGGCGGGAAGATGGTCGGTCGTTTTGCTCCTTCGAGGTGCTTGGAGACTTGACGTTTACTGAGCTTAAAAGTGCCTTTCTTCTTCTCCTCTTCCTCCTCAGGGAACTTGGATGGGCCTGGGCTTGGTGACGATGTTCGAGCTGAAGGTGTCAGGGCGCGTTCGATGGTCGGTTGTGACTGTTCTGGCTTCTGCGGAGAGGGAGGAGGGGAAGGCATATACATCGATTCGGAATCGTCGGGCGCACTTGGAACAGGTCTGGCGGCGGACTGGTCGAGGGTGCCGCTAGCTTCTTCACGGTCTGGATACATGTCTTCTGGTCCAATTTCGATAATTTCCTGAGGTTTTCCAATTTAGAAATTTTACTGGAAGGGAGACTATGAACATAAAAGCGCACCGGACTCGATGCTATTGAATCCCCTTGCCCCCGTACAACCTTCGGAATTTTCCTATCCTCCTGGAAAGGCGTCAGCAGGACGTTCACCAACCCCCAAGTCAGTCGTACCTCTCGTAAAAACGTCTGAATAGTTGTCGACGTCGACGACGCGACAGAAAGAGGCGCCTTCTTTGTGTCGGAACGCGACGAAAAACCAAATTAGAGCGAACTGAACAGTCCATGTTTCGGGTTGCCGTACCACCTTCTCGTGTTGCATTACAGCAGGCCCTTGCGATTCCTGGACCCAAACTCAATGTCGAGAATTGTAGGAGCAATCCATAAAGCTTACCAGTCTGATACGCTTAACCCTTTCGCGTTCGTAGTCGTTCTGCAGGTCCAAGTAGTCGAGTTTTCTCTTCACGACCTCATTTTCAGCAGCTGCCAATGCCTCCCGGAACCTATCTCTCTCCTTCCTGACCAGTTCTAGTTCTTCTTCAAGACGTATAATTTTTGCTAAATTCGAAGCCATAGTGGTAGAGCGCCACGGACGATGTCAAAGTTGGCAACTTGAGGTCGCGGCACAAGGTGAAAGGAAAGGTAAATGATGTTCGCGGGTCAGGTTTCTTGGCGACCCCCCGCAACCAAATTTGGACATCTCCCCCTATTACGGCTGGGTGGTCATGAACGGCTCTTGAGTGGAAACCACCATCATACTTCCCAGAACTATTCGAAGGTCTTATAACTTTCCGGCATGAGCGATCTTGCAATTGGATTGGCGTACCTGTGCAAGACGTGTTGTAAGTTGGTGCTTAAACGGAAGTCATACTATGTCTCCTCTAACGCCTCCGATTCACAGGTTGCATCCGGGATGCAGAGGTCACACCGGACGGCTCCCGTTTTCGGTCGCATCCAAAACGAGATCCACGAGAGCAGCTCGTGGACGACGAGTTCATGGCGCGAAACTACCATCAGGACGCTTCAGGTCACTTCCACAGCGAGCCAACTCCCACGAGCTCCATGTTGCTGCCACCGCGTCAGCTCAGTGATACTTCCGACAAGTCAAAGTTGGGAGAAGGGGAGAAGGGGTCGGTGCAAATGACCCCGGAGGTGGAGGCCCCAGCGATGGTGCATGCTGCGTCGACTTCCACGGAGGCCACTCTTGCGTTGAAGGAAGAGGACGATAAGAAGACCCCTGCGCCGTTGTCCAATCTTCCAGCTGGGGGCTGAGGGATTCTCGAGTACAGAAATTCCTTTTCCAACGATGCGGTGTTTTCTGTCCGCCTGGGACATTCGAAGGTGAGTGTTACTCCTCGTGATCATACATGTCATGTCTTGACGCCGAACTTCTTGATCAGTCCATAGGCGCAGGTTCGACAGCTCCAATCTCTCGAGCTAGCGGACAGATATCCCCCTTGGACCAGAGAACAACGAGACGGCTTCCTCATAATGGCCCCGCCTTCATGCTAATCCTGTCCAAAGGACATTCCAAATAAGCGTTGCATACAAGTTCATGCTCTGGGAAGAAGGATATTTTGAACTTCCGGTACTTATAGGCCTTTATCTCAGATTTCTTCAAATCGAGACGCCGATAAATGAGTTGAAGCACCTTTGTTATTTCAGCATAATAATCCTTATGCTTGCATACCAATTCTCGAAAGTGATTTCACAACCAACCGGCCAACCAACCTCCAGGATTTATTCGATCCGCAACGACTCGGAGGGCTACCTGAATTTATCTGGGAAGCCTTGCTGGAGAAAACGGGCGACGGGTGAAGCAATTACACCAACAAATGAATCATGAAAGAGACGTGTTCATTTTTTCCTAGATCTCGATATAGTTCCTTTATCATTACTCAGGATGTTTTGCTTAGCGCCAAGAATTCCAGAATCAGTTCCAGCTGTTCTCTAGCCAAAGTATTTCGCATTGCATCCTGTGGGATCCGCTGTTGCAGATGAATTAAGTAGGAGAAGAGTACGCTATTTTAAACAGAGAGTTGTAGACGTAGGAGAATGATATTCGTAAATCAATGTATGGAAGCCAAAATGGGAGTGAGAGATCGTAATTGAACGCGGAATTCCACAATATGCAGAAGTATCCTGTCGTTCGTCTGTTCATAGGACGTCGTAGAATCATGGTAAGTACCATCCTGCGGTCGCTCAATGAAGCCAAGCAATCGTGTCAAGGAAGGCGCAAGACTCCGTGTTGAGGCGCTGCTCCTGCCACAAGAAAGCTTTCTTCACTCCATCGCGCTCGTTCTGCAGCTCCAATGCCGAAATAAAAGGAGCTGGCAGACTGATAGCTGCCTTGGGAGCTGATGAGGAGCGCTACTTGCTTTCGTCCGACCTAAGGTCCGACCTAAGAAGCCCAGATTCGTCAGTGTTGGTGCGGTTCACGATTAGTTCGCCTCCGTTATTGCAGACGAATTAGGGGAAGATTAAGAGTACTGTACAATAAACAAGGAGCAGTAGGCGTAGGTAAGTGATGTGCATGACCAATGTAGAGTATGTAGAATAAAACCAAGTCTGCAATAAGTATCATGCAGTTCGTCCGTTCATAATCGTAAATTCATGGTACCGTCTAGCGGTTGCTCAATTAAGCCAAGCTATCGTGTCAAGGAAGGTGCAGCATTCCGTATCGAGGCGGTCCTTCCACAAGAAAGCGTTCTTCACCCCATCCTGCTCGTTCATCACCATATCCTCATCCACGCCCCTGATAACCTTCCCGACTCTCCTTCCCGAACACATCGCCAAGTACGAAGCGACTATGGCGAGCACGTCCGTCGCTGCAGTCGTCGCCCTGCGCGCTGCCTGAGCTACACGGAACGGAGAGTCACCTGTGGGTGTCGGGAGTGGTACTCCGCTCTTACAACGCGTGAAACGGCTGGGCCATGGAGCGGTGATCAGGACGTGCACGTCGTCGCTGGAGGGTGTAAGCGCTCGGTGCCACTGATGGTCGGCTCGGTAGAATGGGAGGGCGAGACAAAGGAAGTCGCGTGCGAGAAGGAGTTGATTTGTGTCGAGCAGGGTGAACATACGCTCCGGTGTGTCCTTGGGGTAGGCGTGGGCCTCGGGGACAACAATGTTGAGGAGCGCGATACCGCTCTCTTCGTCGTACTCCGGCCACACCATGCCTTGCTCAAGGTGTTGGTTGGGATCGCGGGAGTAGCTGGGATGAAGAATGCGAATGATGTGCGTGAATGGGATGTTCAACGACGGAGATGCTGGGCTATCGTAACGCGGCCCAGAAGGAGGATATTGGACCTTGAAAGGATCGTAGTGCCCGTCTGCGAACGCGAAGGAGACATATGGGATGAAGTGGTAGAATGATTTGAGGGCGTTGTGCTGGGGTTCTTCGTCTGGAATTGCGCATCTTGGCGATGACGGCGCTGTTCCTGCTGTGGAGAAAAGACTGTCTGGAGTATGCGTGCGCTTCCATGCTTTCGCTCTCCGCTTGGTCCTTCCCCGCTCCTCGTCGCGGTCATGCAGCGAAGTGTTAATGGTCAGATTGACCTTGCATCGTTGGCGCAGAGGTTGGCGATAGGCGGGCATAATTATCGTGTAAATTTGACGAAGTGGCGATAGAGGTTGTGATCGTCGGTGAGCAGAGCGAGAGCAATGGTGGTTGGTGACTAGCACGAACCAGAGCCACAGAATATCGAAAGAAAGAGGACGTAAAGCGAGAGTGCCTTGTCGTCTCTTTATAACTGGTCAAAGTGAAAGGTCAAAGCGAGCCGAGTGGCTCAGTCACGAGGCAATTGTGAAAGGAACTCACCGCTTTTTATCCAATATTTGCGAAGCGCGAGGCGCCCTTTTGGGAGGAATAATTGTCTGTACCTGAAAGACAACGAAAAGAATGCCGCTCTCGCGAGGTTGGGTTTCCACTACCCAGGTGTTTCGAGTATCACAGGCTCATTGATCCCATTGCGGAGAGCCAGATATGTGGACTTGAGGTCCCAAAATGATCGCAAGATCATTTCTAGTAAATCGATTCCGGATCTTTGGCCGTACGAGTTGAGCAGCGCGAGATTGTCATTGTGGTGGATGAAAGAAAGAAAGATTGGCGAACAAAGGAGTTCGGCTGATCCGAAGCGGGCCCAGGAATGATCCGAATTTTATCTTATCTTACCGACTGGTATGCATGTAACCCACTAAGTCTCCGTCGTCCAAGAACAAATAAACAGACACCCTTCTTCCTGTTTACCACCATCAATGGACCAACTCATCCCAGTGAAAGACTTCATCTCCGGGTTTACTACCTCCCAGTATCTTTGTCACGAAAAGATAGAACAAGTCGCTCTCGAGGACAAGCAGCTAGGAGTCCACAAAGTCTGGTCGAAATTGAAGCATAAACTCGTGCAGCCTCCACCCGAACTTCCGAAAGCTGAACAATCACCCTGCGACGACGACGGTAGTCCCCTACCTGCTCCTAAACACGCCTGGGAGGCACTGTACCCTGAGGGAAGTATAAATCCGTCGGGCGAGATACCTGGCGGCTTCGGATTCTACCTCTCTGGTCCACCGGCGTTCGCGAAATGCCTTGAGTCCGCGTCCGAAGCTGTGTTCAGCTACAGGATGATGATTCAGGAGGGGTGGGAGTGGGTCAAGGGCGGGAAGCTCCCCGGTGTTTGTAAGTCCAGTGGCTTGAATGGGTACTCTAGCGTCTAGGGATTAATCTTGGTCCCTGCACAGTTGGTGGAAATGGAGACCTTTCGTACGGGTGTACTGGCGGACGCCAGGAACAACGATGCCAGTGCTTCAATCTAAGACCGATGTGGAGGTACGTTTGTGTAGTTGGCTTGCCTGCGAGCTTCTAATCGTCGTTCTTCATAGACCAAACTCAGTTGGGGAGTTGTACGCCTACCTTCCCTTGACCACCGAAAATCGCGATCAGCTCTTAGCCGTCCCACCGAGGTCCATTGAAAATAGCGACTACGGGTTTTCGGTTGGACGCGACGCATTTCGATTTGATCGTGCGGTCGGCCACTGGATCGCCGTCGCATTCCGAATCAGATTGAATGACGTTGGATGTACCAACGGTGAGATATTTGCCTTGGTTTGCATGACAAATACCTCAACAGCTTTTCGTCTTCCCCAGGCGAGCTACAGCTCTGGATTGATGGACAATCCGTAATCAAGGCGGACGGTCTAACACTACGTTGCTCGGAGGACGGGAAGATGAAGGGTATGCATTTCCAAACTTTCTTCGGTGGTGAGTAGTATTTTATAGGCTCTAACAAAACACTAAATTTGACGGGAGTCTAGGACACGAGAAAGATTGGGCCTCACCCAAAGATCAGAAGGCTTGGTTCGCAGATGTTTCTGGAGTAATCATACAATAAAAAAAGAGAGAATATTGTATGTACACTGCTAGTTTGCGTTCGGGAATATCTCATTTAAGCTCTGATACCACATCTTCAATTAACTTCTGAACAGCAGGCGAACGGGGAGTAATCGAACACTCGAAAGGTTTCTTAATCCTATCAAAATATGTGTGAGGCCTCCTATAGATGATGTTACAACCAGGGGAAACAGCGCACGTCTTGACTCCATGATCCTCGAACTCAGGGTTAATCTCGATCTCCTTCCCGAACTCATCCTTTGCCTTGCTGATGTTAAAGCAGGCTAAAATGGATACGATGGTAATCCACATCTGGAAATAGCTCGTGATTCGGATTCGAGGCTCCAAAAAAGGAGATACGCACTGTGGCGCTCGCGACATGCTTCCCGGCGCAAATTCTGGCATAAGGAAGGTACATAAGCGCCGGAGGTAATATCAACAGTGAAATAATTTTACCGTCGCCCGTATCCATAAGCGAGAACGCGGTCGTCATCATTGAGGGACCCGTCTTCGTCGAAGAACCTCTCGGGCTCGAACGCGTCGGGATCTTTATAAGTGCCCTCGTCGTGAGTGATAGCCCTGGCAAAATAATGTAGAGCAATTTTCTATAACCCTTAGGATGAAACGTACCAAATGTTGGCGAAAACTTGGGTCCCTGCGTGTCCTTTCAGTAAGGTATCTTGAAAGGCTACAAACGCTTGCTTACCTTTCGGAAGGAGATAATCTCCGTAAAAGTCATCCTCGGCGAGGGTGTGCATCATGCCGAGGGGAAGCGGCGGGGCGAATCGCATCACCTCACGATATACTGCCTCGATGTAGGGCAAAGAGGCTCTATCAGTGAAATCAGGGAGCCTATGGTTGCCGACGACGCGGTCAATTTCGGCCTGCGCTTTCTTCTGCACTTCGGGGCTGATGGCCATGGTATAGAAGAAAGTGGCCGTCGCCGATATCGTCTATAAAAGTATTTGTTGATTGGGAACAATTGAGGAAGAATGTAAAGGCTCACTGTATCGGATGCAGCTGAAGAGGTGGGGTTCAGTAAGGAGTCAAGGACGGCGAACAAGCCCTTACCGCCATACACGGTGTATGCAACATTTTTCATAATTTCTTCCTCTTCCTCTGAAGCGCCTGTCGTCGCCTTCTTTTCCATGAACTGAGTCAGCAGCGACGGGGAGTCTATTCCAGCAGCCTATACATTCATCTCACCAAGGCTACAAAAAATGCGACAAAAAGCGTTCACAAACCATTTGTCTCTTGACGTCGTCCACTGGGATATCCTTCATTTTTCCGGTCCAGTAGCGGGCCTGAGTCGCAAGCTTCTGGGATATAGCGCCGGGAACCCAGGCAGGAACGCGGGCAAGAACAGGGATGATATTGATCATACTTCCCGATGTCATGAATAATGGATCACCTATTTCAGCAGTTCGTGTTGCCGCATCGATAGCCGGGTCGTCGAGGTTCTTCACCTGATATCCGTACATCATATCCATTGTAATAGAGATTGACAACCTGCGATGCATGTTCAAAATCTCTGAAATTCCAAGAGGTGAGAAGCGTACATTCTGTTATGAGCCTCAAACTCCTCGGGAGAACGGAGAAGTTGGAGAAGAGCCCTGTGAACTTTCTCCAATTGAATGGGCTCGAATGACCTCGACGCTTCGCGGTTAAGATGTTGTTGGCACACCTTCCGGTGCTTGCGCCACTCGTCACCGTAGTCCATGAGCGCGATGTTGAATTCCCAATCCAATCTTTCACCAACATCAGTCACGGTTCCAGTCGGGAGGAAAAAAGAAGTTCGCTTACAGCTTCACTATAGGGGTGTAAGGACGACCGGAGGAGTTCCTAGCGCGTTTCTCAAGAAGCTCATCTGCTATTTCTCGTTTATTCACGATAACGATATGGTGTCCCAGAACCTGAGCGTGAAGGATGTCGCCTTTACATCGTTATGAGCCTTTGCCATTGGTAAGAAATGAGTGGTTTACATACTGTTGTTTCTTCGTCCCCATTCCAGGTAGGTTTGCCCGGTCTGGTCAGATGGCAGGTCAAATAAATTACCGACTATAGGCCAGGGCTTCGGTCCCGGAGGATAGATTCCTTTCCTTTTCTGACGGACTACGGCCCGACAGATGTGGTAGAGGATAATGCAGAGAACGGAGATGATGAGGGCGGTTATGTTCAGACTCATTTTTGCGAGATTTTCTGTGTTTGACGATTAGGGGTGAATGAAGACGAGGGGTCTGGAGAGGTGAATGCGCGTCCAGGCATTTATATATCTTACACCCAGCACCTGCCGAGACGACGCGTGTCACCCAGCTGCTTTCATCAACTTAGAGATCCAAACGGGAGCTTGTCCTCAGATTACTGACATCTTAGGGTGGACATAGAATACACATCTATTTATATTTGCGAGTCTGTGATGTCCACGGAGCGATTTGATACCTGATAGTGTCAGAACAAGGGATGGAGAAAGCTTATTGTACAGGCACAGTATCACAATGTGCAGCCTTTTTTCTCTGCCGAAAATTCAATTTCCATTTAGGCGACTCCGCTCCACGCATCGTAAGCGAATGACAGCTACGAAGTGCTCATAGAGCGATAACCAGCGCGGGCACCAACGGCCGTCAGTCAGACGAGCCGGTGGTCTAAGTATGCCCCAGAGAAGGACTTTGCTCACAGGTGCTTCGTCCCACGAAGCATTTGTTATCTTTATTCTTTGCATTGTTGTGTCCACGACGCTCAGTTGGGATGGGAGGTCTGGGACCGGGCCGGTGTGTGGCGCACGCAAGCCCACCATTCCCAATATCCTTCTATGGGAACATCAGTTAGGAACCGCTGGGAAAAGAGGCTGTTTCTCCGATTAGGAGGACCCTCTGGGCCATTGACCTGAACACAGGTGTTTTGGAGTCGAGCCCACTGGTTTGCTGCCACCTGTTCATCCCTACTTATCATATTACACATACTGCTGAGTTCTTCGGCGCCGGTGTTTCGGGCCGAGTGCAACCACGGGTGGCTTATGGGTTGGGAATCGAAGGGTAGCCAATGGTGGCGTGGGTAGCGTCACTGCTTATCACCAACTCCATGCTTCATAATACATATGCGATAGCTCGCCGATATTCATTCTCCTTTTGAACTCCTGGCCTCGGTTGCTCAAATCGGTTTGTATTCATCGACCACAATTAATTACTTGTACTCTGATAAGGCCTCTTCAATTAATTTCCGGCTTAAGCTCGAACGCGGAGTAATGGAGCATTTGAACGGCTTCTTGAACCTGGAAAGTTCGAGTATCAGCCTTTGTCCGAAGGGAATCATGTCGTCCCGAAGATACGTACTGAATAAGGCCCGAGTCCACATATTCATCATTAATCTCGATCTCGTTCCCGTGCTCATCTTTAGCCTTTCCGATGTTGTAGCAAGCCAGAACGGATACGATGGTGATCCACATCTGGGATGCAGAAAACTGGTGTGAGGAAAGCGTAGAAAGAATGGACGAATGTTACGCACGGTGGAGCTTGCGACATATTTGCCAACGCAAACCCTGACAGCAGGGAATTAGTTAGCCTTCGTGCGCCTATTGATTCCTTAAATTACCTTCGTCCGTATCCATAAGCAAGTACTCGGTGGTCGTCGTTCAGAGTGCCATCTTCGTTGAAGAATCGTTCCGGTTGGAATATGTGTGGGTCCTTGTAGGTATTCGGGTCATGAGTGATAGCCCTGAGGATGCTCGGTCACAGGGATTCAGAAAACCTTGCTAGGAAACACACCAAATATTTGGGAAAACTTGCGTTCCTGCAGACGCAGTTAGCTATGTAAAAATATATTCGCCATTCCACATGATAGCGCACCTTTCGGAATGAAGTAGCCTCCACAGACGTCATCCTCAGCGAGAGTGTGCATAAGACCAATTGGGAGAGGAGGGCAAAAGCGCATGACTTCTCGATAGATGGCCTCGATGTAGGGAAGCGATGGCCTGTCAGTAAAGTCTGGCAGGCGGTTTGTACCGACGACGCGATCAATTTCGGCCTGTGCTTTCTTCTGTACGTCAGGGCTTATGGCCATCGCGTAAAAGAAGGTGCCCGTCGCCGATATAGTCTGCGAAGATGCTGAGAAATCACAGTATTCCATGAATAGCTCGGCTTACCGTATCAGAGGCAGCTGCAGGATGCCAACGCGAGATAGCATGTACGTATGTGGTCAGAGTCATTAGTCAAGGAGTAGGAGGGATCTTGCTTACCTCCATAGACCGTGTAAGCTACGTTCTTCATTATCTTTTCCTCCTCTGCAGAAGCTCCGATCGTGGCCTTCTTCTCCAAGAACTGTGTCAGCAGAGACGGCGTCACGCTGCCTTCCGCCTGAAGCAAGCTTTAGTCAGAGTGCAAGGCGAAGATAAATCCACACTCACCATTCGCCGGTTGATGTCATCCAAGGGAATGCGCTTCATTTGTGCCGTCCACTGAGCGGATTCCAGGGCAGTTCTCTAGGAGATTGCACCTGGGAACCAGGAAGGAATACGGCCCAGAACCGGGAAGCTATTTACGAGGCTTCCCGTAATGGAATAAAGCGGATTTCCAATTTCAAGAGCCCTCTCCGCTGCTGAGACCACAGGATCTTCGAGCGTTTTAAGCTGGTAGCCGTACATCATGTCCATGGTAATGGCGAGAGACAGCCTAGTTCGCCGTTGACTCGCCAGTTCTGGGATCGAGATAAAGGAAAGCACGCACACTCTGCTGTGTGCTTCGAAATTCTCCGGCGAATGAAGCAGCCCTAGAAGCATCTCGTGGGTTTTCTGAATTTGGATCGGCTGGAACAACCTTGCCGCGTCGCGGTTGAGGTGCTGCTGGCATGCTTTACGGTGCTTTCGCCATTCGTCGCTATAGGACATGAGGGCGATGTTGTAGTCCCAATCCAGTCTATGGATATTCAACGTCAGTCCTTGCACATTTATTTCGGAGGCGAGAGGTCACCCACAGGTGAGTGATAGGCATGTACTGTCGTCCAGAGGTGTTCCTCGCACGTTTTTCGAGCAGCTCATCGGCGATTTCTCTAGAGTTGACGACGACAGTGTGTTGCCCAAAGACCTCGGTATGAACCATATCGCCTGGATCCTGCAATGAGAAGGATACTATCAACCGCAGATGGTTTAACTGACTGTTGTAAGGCTTCCCCCAGTCCAAATACGTTCGGCCTGGTTGTTCGATTGGAACGTCATACCAATTCCCAATAATTGGCCATCCCTTTGGTCCGGGGGGATATGGTCCTTGACGCCGCCGACGGATAAAGCGTTGGTTTATTCCATGAAGGAGAAAGTATAGAAGTCCTCCGAAGACGAAGCAGGCGGCGTTGAAACCCATTGTGGGATTTGGGTCGGCTACAGAAAGTACGAGGGGTTGAAGAGTGCTTAGGTCATGGAGCAGGCATTCTAGGGTTTTATGTTATGATAGTGTCGGGGAAGAAACGGCAGCGGCCTTGAAGAACTTGGAGTTTCGAATGGAGCCGATGGGTCATGACCCAAGTCATGACTCATAGGCTCATAGGGCGTATATCCTTCCGCCAGTGGGACGGGAGGCCGGAAAGCTCGTATGCTGACGCTATACTTGACGTCGGATGCTCAAAGTTGAGTTGCAAGACGAAGAAGACGGGATAATAATAGAGAAGAAGTGGCGCAGGCCTCTGGCTTCAACGGAGTCACGAGTGCGTGAGAAAGGGTGTAAACCGACGGCAGAAGTCGTGAGTTTCCTTGGGCAGCCGATTTTTTTTTCAACCAACCAACAAGTCTGGCTCTATCAGAAGATAGAGCCAGGCTACGAGTTATACCTCCAATAAATCTGCAGGAGATAAATCACAAACCCGAATTTTGTCGGAACCAACGCCAAGAGATTCCTCTTCAGTACTTCATGCGAGCGCCGGATTCGCAAGTTGAAAACATTACTAGTGTTTCCTTCTGCTCGTCTGTGATGTAGCACCAAGAAGCTTTGGAAGTGCAATTGTCCTCGATACGAAGGAATCATCGTGGCCCACACCTCTTATCGACAGCACCAAGCCCTGGATGAGGGACCTCACCAGTCACCAGTAAGTACCTCACCAGTAACAGGAAAACAATACTTAAAGGTCGCAGCGGGTCCTTGAACTGGTTTCTTCCTCCCTTTCCATGAGGCGTCGCTATCTGCTCCGTACGCGAACTCCGGTTCAGAAATCACTTTGGCGCCTACGTGCCCAACAAATCTCGAGCACAACCCCTCCGTATTTCCGGTCAATACCATGGCTATCTGAGACTTGATAGTGTTGCTTGTTGCGACAAGGCGACCCCGTGTCAGTCATGTCTCACATCCATCTGGTGGGTTCATGTTGTTCTTCTCCCACCATGTCCGTTCTGAAAGAAAAGAAAGCCGTCGCAGCATCTCTCTTCGCCTTCATCTACATCGCCGTATTTATCAGGGTCCTCCTGAACGACTACTTACCGGACGTTCCACAAGATCAAGGTGGTTTGAATGTCGATCAAGCTTGGAGTGATCTGCACAAGGTTTGTCGTCGTCATGCCTGCCTCGAGACAGACCTTAATCACCTCCCAAAGATATCTACTCGACCTCACCCCTACAACTCTCATGAGAACGACGCGGTGCGCTCGTACATCCTTTCTCGCCTTAACGATGTGGCCGCCAACTCCGCCCACGTTCATGTTATCGACGATCTTACGACGAATGTCTCATTCGTCGACCCACCAGCATCCGCTTACTTTGAAGGCAGGAACATCCTCGTTAAAGTCGAAGGATCCGACCCAGCCTACTCCGAGACCGGTGGTGTTCTCTTCTCCGCCCATTTTGATTCAGTCTCGACGTCAGTTGGAGCCACAGACGACGGCATGGGCACGGTAACCTGCATGCAACTCGTTGAGTACTTCGCGAACCACCGCCCACGACGAACGGCGATATTTAATATCAACAACGGAGAGGAAGATGGACTCAACGGCGCTCACGCGTAAGTTCTTCGATATTGGTCTGTCCGCGTGTCTGACATGGGTAATAGATTCCTCAACCATCCTTGGTCAAAAATCCCGGATACCTTCCTCAACTTCGAAGGCAGCGGCACTGGCGGGCGACCGGTTTTCTTTCGAGCTACTTCAATGGCGCCTATGCTCTCCGCCATATCGGGACGCGTCAGCCGCCCACATGCGAATGTCCTGTCCGGTGACGCTTTTAGACAGGGCGTGATCCGCTCTCGAACCGACTTCAGCGTGTATCAGGACGGGGGACGGTACGAGGGACTCGATTTGGCGTTCTACAAACGCCGGTGCTACTACCACACCAAGTACGACTCGATTCCTTTCCTCACCGGAGGCAAGAAATCCCTTTGGTCGATGCTTGAAGTTGCTCGCGGTTCAGCAGGCCCACTACTCAACAAAGATGAGCTACATACGGATAGATTGAAGGTGCCAGTTGTGTTCTTCGATTGTAAGACCTAAGTTTTATTCTACCGTACGGGCTATCTTACATACTATATGGTCACAGTGTTCTCAAGACACCTCGTCGTCTTCTCAATGGAGAACCTAATGACGTTCAACGTCGTCGTGCTTGTCGCTCACCCACTCGTTCTATTCTACCTATCTGTCTACTTCCGTCACCCTTCCGAATCCTCCAACAACCCTAGGAGTGGCTCACTTCTTCGGCCTTTCCTCCACGGTGGCCAGTATTTATACAGATCGGCGACGGCGAGTGCAACGACGTTCTTCTTGTCGGCTTTAGTTGCGTTCTTCGTGCTCGAAGCTGCGCTCGTATGGTGCTTCGTTCAGTTCAATCCATTTGTACGTATCCTCGCCGCTGCTTCGCCTCTTAGTTGATCTAACGCGTGCATAGATAATCTACTCCTCGCCATATCTCGTCCTGTTCACCTTCGTAGATCTGGGTTTCCTCTCGACCCAACTCGTCGGCGCGGCCGCACGGTCCCCCCTCCTCATCAAGTTCTCACATCCTCGGTCTATGCCAAAAGAAGGAGATCTGTTGGCTCGGCTGTACGTCTTCACCTGGATCCTCACACTCATCGGCACCGTCCTCCTTCACAAGCTTCAGCTGGGGGGTGTCTACTTCCTGACAGTGTCGAACGTCTCAACCTCCTTCGCCACATTCATCAGCTCGGTTACGAGGGCTAGACCGGCTGACAAACATGTGGCGCGCCAAGGAGATCAGTTCGCTACTAAAGAAGCATCGCCTTCTATGTGGCGTAGCGATCGATCCGCGCCCAGCTTGTGCGAGCAGAATGAGAAAGTGGGATGGTCATGGGTCGCACAGATCATCCTGGCGGTCGTACCTTCAGTGGTGTTGATTTTCCATATCGCAGTGTTGGTGTTGGACGGGATGGCACAGACACTTCCAGATGGTGGGAATCCTACTCTGGGTGAGTCGATATCTCGTGGAAGCGTCACAGAGCTGACTGATTTCGCCAGTATATACCGCCGTAGCCCTTCTTTCGGTCCTCCTTACTGTGCCGACGATACCATGGACGCTCTCGGTCCACCGTTTCGCCAATTATGCCGTGTTTTTGGCCTTCATGGCTGCGACGACCTACACCCTAGCCGCGTTCCCGTTTTCACCTGAAACGCCTTTGAAGGTCTTCTTTCAGCAGTCGTTAACCCTTGATGGTGGATGGCATGTCGGAGATCGATCGTCCGGCTTGAACAGCCCCAGCCCTTCTCCCATACTCGCGCTCCATGACCCAGGTGCTGGTGGTGTGAAGGTCCTTACCACTCTAGTCGGCACACCCCATTATCTACAACACGCAGTAATTCCTGCTATACCCTCTTCGGTCGACACCCTTGTTTCCTGCGTCGACACGCCACATCGCTCAGGAACCGTGATGTGCAAATGGGAAAGCGGTCTTACTCCATACCCAGATGGGACGAGAACACGCGCCAACCCAGCTCTTTCTCTGCTCAACTTCTTTGCGTCGAAGCAACGGAAGGAAGGCACGGACCCGGATCTGATGTTGAACCCAAACCCAAACGACTGGATAGACGCCTCCATTGTGCGCACGGGGCCCACTTCGGCGCGATTCTCCGTGCGAGGAACCAATACGAGGAACTGCCGTTTGTACTTCGATACCAGAGCGCTCGTCGCATATCAGGTCCACGGAGCGGATGACGTGGTCGTTCCAACACCCGGATACGAAATACCTCCGCAGGGGGTCCATGAGCTGCGGCTGTTCAGTCGTACGTGGGACCGAACGTTTGTCGTGGACGTGGAGTGGAAGCGAGAGGAACACGGACTCAGCGGGGATCGAGATAACGCCGCTGGAGATGACGTCGTGGCCGGTCGAATCGCCTGTGAGTGGTCTGAGTACGCAAGCGGGAGAGTGGGTACTGCTCATGAAAATATGCCTGGCTCGGTCATTCCAGCCTACGAGGAGATTTTGAACTTTGCCCCGAGGTGGGTCTCGGTGTCGAAGCTGTACCATGGTCTCCTGGAGGTCTCAGGCGAATTTTCGATTAACTAAGGCCTCATCCTCGGTAGTGATAGAGATCTGGTGGATCTGCGCTCGTGCTGAGTATTTTGGCATATTTAATTCGCGTATCGTGTTCTGAATATATTTTCCTTGGTCGAGGTGACTCGCGGCGGACCAAGATGACTGGAAAAATCACGAAATTGCCCCATCGGAATTGATTATCAATTTGTCTTATCATCGCCCCCGCCACTGGCTACCTCAGGCGGTCGGAATTGGGCTGTGGAAGTCGGACCGTATGAACCCTTGGCACCTCCCTTGCACGCTGCGAGCGCCCTCATGATCCATCACCTATTCAAAACAGTGCCAAATACCTCACATATAAAAGCCTCTCCTCGTTCGCCAGAGCTCTCCAGCGCCTTCAATCTTAACCTTGAAGTCAATCTCCCACAGTATCATCATGTTCACTGTTCGTCCTTGCCCTCTTTTCCCTCGAGACGTTGATGCTGACCGACTACTTCTGCAGCTCACCAATGCCCCCGTTAACCAAGCCGGCTCCTGCGGCACCAACTGCGGCGGAGGCGACTCGTAAGTCATTGCAGTACTTGACGCTATGACCTACGTCCCTGATCTTGCCTTTCCCAGCTGCGCCTGCAAGCCCGGCGAGTGCAAGTGCTAAGCACTCTGCACCATCGAGCCTTCCCAACCCAGTTGGAGAAGCGGTCGTATGACCAGTCTTGAAGGAAGTTGTTGTATGGGTAATTGTTGTAAAAGAAATATATGGATTAGTGGATGCCTTTCTGAAGTTCCTGGCTCGATTCTTGCGTGATGGATAGACGCTCTGATCGGACTTCGGCCCGACTGAGTGACGTTGATCGGCAACAACGGCCCGCCATCTAAATTCTGCATCTTTGGCGTCGAATGCTGTTCTCCTAACGACTTCCAACGTAGAGATATCTCTTCTATTCACGGGCCAACGACAACACATCGCCTTCAACAGCGGAACTTCAGTGTGATATATTGATCATCACCCTTGTACACGAGGGTTAGGCGGTTCCACGTTCCCATTCAGCCCGAGCCGCGTGCCTCCTCAAAGCACTATCGCAACGTCTAGACTTATCATCTGAGTTGCTTGAGCTTTCTGCACGGGCTACTCTCTCTCAGTAGCCGAGTTGGAGCACGTGCTAGGTATAGCAGGGGTCTTGTGGAACATCACGATCTCAAAATTCCCGCAAGTAGGAACCTATTCATGTTTGTGCTCGACTTCCAGGTGATCGTCTTCCGGTGTAAGATGGAATTTAAAGCACATAAAGTGCAGCTCCATCACCTGCAAGCATCAGTGCTCTCCTTCACCCCGACCTCTGACTTACAGCCATGGCCGAATGGGAGTATCGAAACGAAGCGATAGCTCTTCTGCCTGTGTCAATACCTCCACCCCTGAAAGATCTGTCCTGGACGACCCCAGAAAGCTCCTTCACCACTGTCCCGACATTGATTCCACCTCTTACAAGCGGGGCGGATCCTCTTCCATGCGGGTGTCATGGTTCCACAGATGTCATCCAATCCCCGGAGACTATGACTGAGACGCCGACGTTTATTACCACCCACACTCCTTCAAGCTCGAAAACATTAGAAATTATTGTGACATACACTAAATCGCGCGGACCTGGCACCATCACGAACGCCTTGGTCCCTCCGACTGGGCCAGATGTCGACTTCACGGCGCCGAGAGCAACCGAATCCGAGACTCTTACCAACCCCCTGCTCTCCGTGTTCCCTGACTCGGATCTACCGACTGTATTCACCTCAACTTCTACGTTAACATCTATCTCCGAGATATCTGCACCAACACCAACTATCAGCGCAGAGCAGGACTCATCAAAGTAATGGGATTCCTTCTATCTTGTTCAGAAAGAGCACTTACATCCGAATCTGATTTTAGGACAGACATTCGCCTCGCCTTGGTCACCATCTTCACAGCCATCTTCTACATCATTTTAGTCGGCATCGTTATTGTCATCATTCGCAGAAAACGACGGAGGGCGGAGGTGCTTCAGGAGGATGGCGTACAATTTCTATTGCGTTAGGCAAGGACAGAATTTCTATACCCGCCATCAGTTCGTCATATCTTTCGCCACTGGATTTCACCCATCGCAGTGGTTTCGCGCTAGTTCTGCCTCCTATCCTTTTATACCATTACTGTCAATTTATACCCACATTACTTTCTCCACCTAAGCGCCCATGCCCGAATTGCAACCGAATTATGCATCAGGACCCTGTCACCTCGGCATGGCAGTGTGAGAACCTGGAGTCCTGGACGGTGCATCATCAGATGCAACCTCAACATTATTCTCCCCGTCACTGACGACGACAACCACGAGAAGACACCCTCTCTGCTGGCGACACTAGCATCAGTGTAATATCGACTTCCATAAGCTCTTAGACTACTTACGCATGGTGAGCATTGTTCATTGCTCGCCCGCCGAGCTCTGTCTCATATTTCTGACGACCAGAGCGCTCAGAATGGCTACATAGCATTATCACCTTCAGCAGACCGCAATACACCAGAGCAAGAATACCCGCCGCAAGTCGAGGCTGCATACTCGTCAGATTCACCCTTACTTGATCCCTCGACGCGGGGGAAGACTCTCAACCTTCATGGAGGAACGTTCACAGTCGACCCGGATGGGCACTCGTATTCCTATGCGTATGGACCGAAGGGACTAGCGGGCCTGAGGCACAACAAGTACGCCCTGTTGTGCGCGTTCTTCGCGTCGATTGGAGGGTTGGAGTTTGGGTATGACCAGGGTGTCGTGCGTACCCAGCTTGCCATTCAAACGAGGCTGCCACTGACATGGGCTACGAAAGATCGCAAATGTGCTCGTAATGAAGGACTTCATGCACCGCTGGCCCATCACCCCGTTGCAGAAGGGTATCATGAGTAGGTGTCTCCTCTCAATGTCGTCTGCCTTGGCTCATTCTGCTCTGCAGCTGCGGTTCTGGAACTTGGAGCTCTCATTGGTGCACTAGCAGCAGGAATCTATGCGGACAAGTACTCGCGGAGACATTCAATACTGGTTGCCTGCAGTGAGTTTTTGTTCGTTTCTCCGCCAATCACCCGAGACTACATTCTCCTTAGTCGTCTTCTGCGTCGGGTCTTCCTTTCAAGCCTTTGCCCGGCACATCAGTCACATATTCATCGGACGGGCCATAGGCGGGGTCGGAGTCGGAGCTCTGAGGTATGTTTCTCCCTTAACCCTGAGACTCGCTCTCAGATCAGAATTTGTGCATACAGCATGCTCTCTCCTCTCTACATGGCAGAAATCAGTCCCCCAGAAGTCCGTGGGTCCTTAATGGCGCTTGAACAGCTCTCCATCGTGTTGGGTGTCGTATTTGGGTTTTGGACCGGTTTCATGACGCGAGAATGTACGTTTTCATGCCTACTATGGTTGCTCGTCATTATCAAATCCTGGGTCCGTCTAGACGAAGGTTCTGCATCCTGGCGCATCCCACTCGGCCTTCAAATCATCCCTGGCCTCATCCTTTGCGCTGGATGCTACTTCCTCCCACCATCACCTCGGCTGCTGGTTCTGCATGGACAGTATGAAGATGCACTGCGAAGCCTGGCTCGACTACGGATGAGGACGGAAGAGGAGGCGAAAGGAGACGCGTTGGTCCAGGTACGGCTCTCTCTTGAGTCGTTCTCTTCTGTCAACTGGCCTCGTTGCTGACTGTCTACGCAAACAGATCGAACTTCTGGAAATGAGAGTCGAAACAACACTCATCGAGCGGACTCTCGGCGTTGTTTCAGCTGCTGAGGGCGAGTCGACGACGCAGAGTGGTTGGGACGCCTGGAAGAAGCTCTTCGACGAGCGGTACCGAGATCGAACGTGGATTGGGGTGATGATCATGGTCTTCCAACGTACGTCTTCTTTTTCTCGTCTTCTTTCCAACTTCTCGATACCTCTCTTTTGTCATAACAGAGTGGTCTGGTATCAACGCCCTGCTCTATTACGGACCTACTCTAGTGCATAGCATCGGTCTTCGAGGCGACACCGTTACGCTACTGGTGTCAGGAGGGATCGGGGTCGTGCAGCTCATCGCCGTCTTGCCAGCTATCGTCTGGATCGACAGGGCCGGTAGGAAAGGGTTGTTGCGAGGTACGTCTAAATCCATTCTTCGAAACGATTAGGCCAATTTTGACCCTGCCTCCAACAATAGGTGGAAGTGCGGCAATGGCAGCGTCGCACCTCGGAATTGCTGTCCTCGTCTTGCTCTTCCAGAAAGATTGGGCAGCACATCGGAATGCTGCTTGGATCGCTGTTGGGTACTTTTTCACGTCTTAATTGTTCGCCACTCTCTGAGCTAAAACAATGCTTTTTTTTGTCTGCAGTGGGATATACACCTTTACCTTTGCATACGGTGTCTCAATAGGGCCGATCGGATGGGTGCTTCCGAGTGAAGTCTTCCCGCTGTCGATGAGGAGCAAGGGCGTTGCCCTCAGCACAGCGTCAAATTGGATTAATAATTGTACGTTTATTGCTCTTTCCTTTTCGCCGAATCCTATTCTAATCCTTTGAAACAGTCTTTATCGGTCTCTTAACACCTGTTATTGTCAACTTTTCGCCTGCGTAAGTGTTGTCCATGAACTCTTCATTTTCGTTTGCTGAAAAAAAGACGATGGCATCTAGGGTCGCATTCCTGGTCTTCGCGGCAGCCTGTGTGGCTGCGTACTTTTGGGCAACTTATTATGTACCCGAAACGGCGAACGTTTCACTCGAGGAGGTCGACAAGCTGTTCAAGTCGTCTGCGGGCATAGAGGAGGCCGAGATGGAGCGCGAAGTAGAATCTATTGCCTATGAATGATTCTTGAAGACAGTCGCTGATACTCGTCTTATAGATCGAGCAGGAACTTGGGCTGACTGGGTTGATTAGAGAGCTGGCGGACGACCTGGAGAGATGAGGTTGGGTAAGAAGCCCTACGTGTCCGATGTTGAATGTGTCGTTGCTCATGCTTATTCGTCAGACGTGCCACAGAAGTCATGTATTTATTCTCTAGATCTTACATCAAGGCAATTATAATCGCAATGCACATTAAACCCCGCATTGCGAGACCACGTCCGAATGTCTGGCCACTTCGCGCATGAGCTCGGTTTAGATGTTGCTCCATTCGACTGTCTGCGTCTCAACGCTGGCTGTTCCTAGCGCGTCAGGCATTTTGATAGCCTCAGAAGCTACATCAACTCAAGGCTCAATAAATGAACTTCTGTACACTGGGGGCAGAACGACGTACGAATGAATATCGCAGTAAACTCCGGGTTCATCTGCTTCGGGTAGAACAGAACCCTATCGGGATTGAAGTCCACAAAACCCTTCACTCCTCCAGGGGTGTTCAAATCAGAAACATGCTTGAAGATGAGCTCGCCCCACGTCTCGGGATGTTCTGGTCGTTGTTCAGCTGGAAGGTCGCGGATAGGTGGCAATGGTCAGCGAAGTCGGAGTGTAATGCTGACCTGTGCGTAGCACTTGCTAGGGTCATTGTGGAAGAACTGGACGACGGCGGCGTGGTCTTGCTTGGTTCTGTAGGTGTTTGGGAACATGACATAACGTGTTCCCCGCTCGAGGTCGAGGTCTTCGACGTGGTTGTAAAAGAGGTATCCCTCCGGATCTGCAAGGACCTCAATCATCGACCCTTCTAGCCAGTGCTAAAACCCACCACATCCGACCGTCATCTTGTCTTTGAACTCCCGCATGAGGCGCCCTTGGGACCTCAAGCCGCATCGCATGCTGCCCATTGTGTGTCCAGAAGAGTGCCGAAGCGGGCACAAACTTGTGGTGGTACTGTGTCTCGAGCTGGGCGAAGAGCTGATCGTGGGTCAGCGGGCTGGGAACAACCATTATGGTTTGAATTTGAAGGTTGAAAGTTCTGGGGGTTTCTTGGTCGTTCTGGAGGAAGCTAATGAACTCAGTCGTCAATCGGGCAGCCCCTTTATACAAGTGCACAGGCTCTGGGGGATTTTCCTGCAAAAGTTCGATATACGACCTACAATTCATGTGGGCCCAAGACGTAGGAAACGTTATGGTTCCGTCTACGCTTATTTTGGCCGTCATAGGGGAAGCCATCCCTCCTTCCATACCGCCACTCAAAAGTCAACACATTGACAGAACCACACCGCAGGATTATTTCGCCTGGCACAAGTCATCAGCAAATCAGGGAGATCAATGTATAGGTAGATATGGTGTTATAAGGGAATATAATTGACCATAAGGCTTATATGGCCATAAGGGTCCACAGGGCCTTATAATTTTACCCGGTTTATGGAAGGTTCACAAGGGTTACAGAATTTCGCGAGCCTTGTGAACATTGTAAGGCAATGTAAGGCTCACCAGGGTATATCACGGCTGGTGGGCACTTTACGGTTTTTCTAGCCTTGCCAGGGCATACATAGTCGTGTCACGTCTTCGTAATCCCAGTAATTATTGCTCCGGGACTGTTCGGAATTTCAATGCACGCAGTATACGCGCTGATAGGAAAACCGACATATCATTACTATCTAATTTATACACAAGGACGGGCGAAAAAGATACGCCTATTCATTGCGCTCTATGATGCTCTCGTGCTTATCATCGACTGGCCGGCTGAGCGGAACGACGCTTTGCGCGAGTCCTGAACAAGGGGGATTCAGTTTGCATTGAGGCTGAACACATTAGGCACAACAACACATACCAGTCAGCCAGTGACGAAAGTCGATGAATGACATCGGACAGACGAGGATGAAAACTGAGAATAAAATGAATACAAACATTGTCAGAACAACGGAGCGAGCTACGAAAACAGCTAAGCGTACCTGTCAGTGGCATGAAAAAGGGAGCCGTAGGAAAAGCCAGAAAAGAATCGCCTGATGGACCCAGAGCATTAATCAAGGCACAAATCATCAATAAGGCGCTCACCTAAGCAAATGCGCCGTGCGCGACCTAGGAAAAGAAGAATGAGCGGGCACTGGCAAATGAACCGGTAAGTGCACCATACATTGCATCGAATCAAAATGCAGCGTACCCATCAGCTCTCGCCATAGCCTATCCTCTCCGGGACCTGGAGCATATCAGTGCCACGCTGCTGAGGACAGATGAAGAGTTCTCTACGTACCTCAAGTTCAATCATACAGTGGGGTATAAGGCGTCGACCATCGAGTGCCCTCGTGGCGACCGCGACTATCGGTGATGTCGCCATGCTTTGGGCCCTATATACAGTGTTGAGGATGCACTAAAAAGGGCAGCCGCGACACTGACACCATATTCTTACGGCACCTGGCATCGTCGGTCTGCGTTGGAGGATAGGTCAACGGACACGAGCTGCAACGAGGAAGGAATGACGAGCATACCCTGGACCCCTGCATCTCATTGGAAAGTAACAAGAAGGCCATGTCGCGCTGAACCGTTGACGTTGTCAGTTAGATTAGATGTAGTGAGTGTTCAATGACTTACTTCACAATGAGTGCAACATCAATGCTGCAAAGTCTCCGTGGGCGACGCTGCACAGGACATCGTATTAGATCTCTTACAATAGTCATAGGAGAAAACTTACGATACGACCAGAACGAGGGCAGCCTCCGGCGCTGGATGGGATTGTCTGCTAACCCGAGGTAGCCTGGAGGATGATCAGGAGAGAGAACGTACCTGTCTTGAGCTTGTCCAGTTCGGACGAGATCGAGCCACTCACGGATGTAGAGACAGGGATTGAGGAGGGGGGAGCCGAGGGGGATGAAGGGAGAAGACAAGAGTGAAGGTCTTCCTCGATCTCTCGTCTTCTGAACTGCTCTCGTCACTGTCGTCGGTATCCATCCTCTTTTTAGTTTTCTTGTTCGTCTTCTTCTTTTTCCTCCGTCGGCACTCATCATCACTATCGCTTTCCTGCTTCCTCCGTCGTCGTCTTGCTTTCTCCTTCTTCCTCTTCTCATCCTTGCTATCCTCATCACTCTCATCACTGTCCTTCCTCCTCCTAGCTCGTCTCTGATCCTTCTTCTTCCTCGCTTTCCTTTCATATTGGAGCCCACCACTTGCAGAACCTTGTTTTGCTCGAACCCGCCTGCCCGAGCCCCAAAACCCTACACCCTTTTTCCGCAACCCGCCTTTATCCATTTTCATCAGACGGCTACGCATCGACATCACGGACACCCCAGTATGCTTTATTTCTGCATGCCACGCATCGTTTTCCGTGAACGACGTCCTTATCGATCATCGCGCATCCGATCAGAACAGCCACGCCAACGCGAGTCTTTTGGACCGACCGTCGAGATCTTCACGCATGGTTTCGGCAGCACTTTCAGAGTCTGGTGTACCCGCAAGACCCTGCACGCCATATTCTCTCGTGCCAAGTCTGGCGCATCTCTCACTGTCGACCACTCCGATGACCGCTATGCACTCGAGCTCGAGATTGAACGACGCTACATCCACTGCTACGAGACCATCTTCTTCGAGCTTCTCCAGGGACGAGGTACACTCAAGGCTGTCAACCCAATGGACCTTCACAACGCGATATGGCAGCAAGCTTTTCACGACGCACAGTACCGGTATCTTGTACTATCATGCGATGTTCTCGAGAGCTTACCGCATATACTCCGACGCCAACTAGTCAACTATGAAACGCCTCGTTCCGACCTTTCTAACCCACCAAAACCCCAAGACGCATCACAGCCGATGACTCGACGCAAGAAGACAAAGAAAACGAAGAAGACTTCAGTTCCACGAGGAATTCCGATAATCCTAGACGACGTACGAACCAAATTAGCAAAGCCGACGCCAGTAGATTCGATGATCGCCATTACAACAGTCCCTATACCAATTTCTCTTTCGCCGCAGATCCTTACAACCACGACTTCATACACACCTGTACAGCCGCACACCGATACTACAACTACGACCACAATGCTGGAGATGAGGCGGGTGGAGATGTTAGACCTGGAGAGTAGCGAGGAGGAGAGTGATGAGAGTGATAGCGAGTCGAGCAATGAGGAATGGGCGAGAAGGAAAGCGAGGAAGAAGAAGGATCAGAGACGAGCTAGGAGGAGGAAGGACAGTGATGAGAGTGATGAGGATAGCAAGGATGAGAAGAGGAAGAAGGAGAAAGCAAGACGACGACGGAGGAAGCAGGAAAGCGATAGTGATGATGAGTGCCGACGGAGGAAAAAGAAGAAGACGAACAAGAAAACTAAAAAGAGGATGGATACCGACGACAGTGACAAGAGCAGTTCAGAAGATGAGAGATCGAGGAAGAAGGCATCAAGGAAAAAGCGCAAGTAGCTTCCAATCTCTTTGCGTTTCCCTTTTTTTGCTTTTCTTCGCAATGTTCGCAACCAGGGATGGTTGATTTTCAAAGTCAGGGGGAGATGTAGGAGAGAGAGGTAGGCTACGATGCGATTACGGTCCCACTCTGTGATTAGATTAGATAAGGACACGGTACTTACGCGTAGCCACTTGCCTCTTTGTTCTCCAGCTCACTCTTGTACGACGACAGAGGCAACGACGCACATTAGCATTACGGTCCCTAACGAGAGGCTACAAGACATTTCCCTCACACGATCCGACCCCATACTCATCAGCATCCTTTCATATTGGAGCCCACCGCGTCGAAAGTTCAACTATGAGCACGTGATGTTGTTGATTGAGCGGAGTTTGAAAGAATTCGAGAGTTGAAGCTTGTCGCGCACGGAAACGGTTGAAAGGCAAGCACGTGCTCCTCAGAGCTGCTCGACCTCCATAATATTATAGACCCTTGTACGCCCATGTATTTACGCAACAAGGCATCCATCGCATTGCCAAGGGATCAGCTTGCTTATGCTTATCTTACATCGCACTGTCGAGATGCCGCACTGTTGGCCAGCGTCGCCAATGGCAGTCGGCCGTTCCCTATTCGGAAGGGTAAGCCAGGTTTTCCCCGATTTGCTGATGAAACAATGGCAAAAAACCAAGCTCCGTTGCTAGTTGAACTCCCACCCACGACAGCTGTTCATTATTGTTATCAACATTTTGCCTTTAGGCATGCGCCAGGCAGCGGAGGACGATATCTATCGGCTTCAAGCATAGATAGCGATAATACAAAATTGACTTTTGGGCCCTATCGTTCGGCTTTGAAGGGGCACCAAAAGCAGACACGACTCATTGCGTGGGGTCAATTGCGACGTTTGGAACTTGACATCCCATCTGAGGTCCAATTTGAACGCTCCGACGTTGACGAACCTCTCGAATCTGGGAACTCTGCTGGATTCTGTCCTCTTATTAGCTTTCCAGCCACCTCCTGGGATGCTCTGATGGTGTATTACTTCTATTCCCATTGACTTTATCCTGACATCGACTTCACATTCTTAATCGGCTATGGCTACGAGGCCCCGATAAGCGGGCCCGATACGAGAAGTATGTTTGTTAGGGATTTATAGAAGTACTGTACGAATTGAAGGCAGCTAGATCTTCGAAAAAGGAAGAATATTATTGACTTCGCCGTCAAGCCTCCGCTCCCACTGTGTAACCCTGGTCCAACAGTAGGTGCATCCCTCAAGAATCCAGCGTCTCTCTTCTGCAGCCTGTGCATGACGCAGCATTGATTCCGGACTCGCCAAAAGCTTCAATATTAATTTGCGATGGAAATGAGGCCACCTCTCGCATTCAATGGACCCTCCCTTATGCTGCGTGCCACCGGACATCTTCAAGGCAGAACGCTGGAGAACCAACCATTGCTCTCTATATCGAAACTGGGTTGATAATAATTAGTAAAGGTTCACTCGCGGAATAAGTGAGTGCATCCCAACCCATTTCAGAATGACGAGAGCCGGGGCTTGCAGGCCCTCTGCGGCAGCCACCATCTCGGAATCCGACTTTCCAAGTGTTAATCGCGCAGCTTTGTCCGCCAAGTCCAGATAATCGTGCTTTGCCGCATACATCAACACTTCTGATGGGTAATCGTCCTTCGAAAGCTTACTGGCAGCCGTCAGTCAGGGACAAAGAAAATAAAAGCAACACGCACTCCATGAAGACCTTACACACGTCAATCGCCGAAAATACAAGGTACTTCTCCACAGCTTCGGCAAGAGAAGAAAGCACGAGGAAGGAGACTTTGCTAAGGTCCGGTTGGCGGACATTGTGCATGTACTGGAGTATAAGCCGCAGAACAGCAGCGGTCTCGGTCAGCTCGACGGTCATCTCTTCTGGCGAATTTGTGGTGGTGGATGCGGCTGGTGGGAAGCTGGCACTATAGCACTCGAGGTTGAATTGGTGAGCTCCGAATGATTCCCCGTCAGACGACCGAAGAATCACGTCTACTGTAAGGTTGCAGTCGTCGACTGGTAGTATACAAGAAAGTGTCAGATTCAGCACGACTTCGGTTTAAGTCATTCAAGATGCACACCTGGACATTTCGGGACGCCGTCTGCAACAGTGTTACCTGGGTCGGATGCAACTTCGCTCATGGAGGAGATGGGGTAGCAACAGGGAAAAGAGGGCGATGATCAACGTCAACCGTGAGCGCTGGCGGGCGTCTATATATCCTATGAACGCGCGTCCACAACGTGTCCGCCCCAGCGGCCGGCCCTACAGTTCGTGGACCCATCGAACGGCCATTACATACTCACAGAGCATCAAAGAAGTGCCTCAGCGTAATAATTTTATCACCGCGGACACACCAATCCGCCAGACTACTCTAAACTTTATTCGCGGTATTCATGAATTACGGAGCAAGGCTCTATATAGTCGCCAATAGGTGTGTATTCGTGTTGAAGCCTAGGCAAAGCACATATTGGTTATGATCTAAGTCCCTAATTTTTGTTTAAGAAGTGGGAGGACGCACCCAAATGCAAATGCAGCCGGTCCGCCGACTTTCAAGCCCGCTTCCGTTCTCCAAAGAGGGTGCCCAGCGAGTACAATGACTAGAAAAGATAATGTACAATATGAGTTCAAGGTGGAGTAAGACGAGTCAGGATGTCGCACCTGTTACCCGGAGACCGTATGTGTCTGAATGAATGATTAGCGGGATTACGCATCGAAGAGAAACAGCAGAGCTCACACTCTGGAGTACCGAGATGCGACCCACTCTGCGAGTCGAGAATGGTAATGAGATCCGGAACGCTAGCAACGATCTAGCGTTGAAATAGAGTGAGTAGTTCGTCTTTGAGTTCGTTGACCTCAAAAGCTTATACCTTTCTCGACCCGTCTTCATAGTCAAGGTAGGCACAAAGATTCTCGTTCTGGAACGGAATGAGCATTGTTGTGCTCGGATCTTCATTGGTCCCAGAGGCGGAAGGTCCTCCGTCCGTGTTTTCGAGCTCGTCTTCTCTGAGTCTTGCAATGCGAACCTCGCCCCAGGTGAATCCGGCGCGGACCTCCTGAAAAAAGAAATCATAAAGTCAGAAGGCGCCCGTGCGCGATTATAGAGACACGACACACCCTCCGGACGTCAATGATCTTACCAACGAACAAGCAAGCACCATTTTGCAGTTTCAGAATAGCATCTGGGATGCCTTTCATATTACTTTGAGCGAATGATATTATTAGAATGTCGTAAGAGATAGAGGTGACAGCATACTTAGTCTGTCGACAGATCGAAATGGCACGGCCTAGCCACCACGCCTGGCTCTGACTACGCGTCACACCGAAGTCCCGAGCATCACGAACCGCAAGTGGAGAGAGACAGAGGGCAGCGGACGAGCCAAATTCTGTGGTGACAATTCTCATGATCGCCTCCACGAATCGGTCATTTTTTACTGTTGCAAGGATCTACACGGGATGTTAGGGTGGAATCGATTGCAACTTGAAGGGGAAATGTATGCTCACAACCGTGTTCCCATCGCCGTCGTTCAAGGAGCAAGGAACCAGGCTGAATGGCTTTAGGTTAGACCGAGCCAGGAAGATTTGTCCACAAGACGCCTACGAGTTAGGTCTGTCATAAACAGCTAATAGAAGATAGAGACTTGTTTAATAGTCCCTAGATTAAGTACTAGTATGACTCAACTGACCTGGCAACATCTGATTAAGCATCGGATACGCTATTTGTAACAAAGATTAGACTAGACTGTCGTTCGAACGACTTGAAACGAACCTCGACCCATCAGGTCTCCGTCCAAGGAAGGAACACCGTAATATCTGGGGGTCGTTGAGTCGGCTTCTTGACTCTATATCTCGTGAGGACAACAGACCTCGCCGTCTGCAGAGATTGCATCCCATTGCCGCCACCGATCTCGTCGCTACCCAGACAAACGGGTCATCCTCTGAATCGCATGGCAAGTATACTTGGAAGAAAGACTTACCTTAGGGTAGCAGCGAACTTCGTAATCCCACAATACTTTCCCAATTCGAGGCCGGCGACGCGGAGGTGCTCGCCGCTTGTGATCTTCTCCGAGCAAACTGAAGGAGAGCCCATGAAGCCTAACAGTTAAGTGGGTAAGATTGCCTGAGCAACGATAAGGGCCAAGGTATACGAGCTACTGACCTCCGCGAACCACGAAGTCGTCATCGTTCAGAGATGTGTGGTCGATGATGCTGATCGAGCCTCCGTCGCGGAGAATCTGACGGCATGCAAGGTAGCTTGGGTAGGGCGAACCACCACCTCCCTACATAGCGATAGAATAATCGGCCATTAGTCCAAAGTGACGAAGAGGATGAAAAGATGGGTATGTTTGTCTTACCGTGCCAAGGATACCACACCCCTCCATGATGAAGACTACTTATCGCCCATCATCAGCTCGTTCTATTGACAAATCGGACCCTGGCAGACAACGTACACAGGTCTGTCTCGGAGAGGATCCAGAGATCGTCCACGATCTTCGGACGATACGTGGCGTAATCGACTTGGTCTTGCACGACGGGCTTGTGGATGATGGCTTCGCGGTTCTCTTGCTCCTTCTCGTCTTCAAATATTTCGCTCGTCGTGGATGGCAGTTGTGGTAGTGTATCCTGACTGAGCTCGCCCACTGCCCGTACGACAATCCGTGTGGCCTGGTTCGTCACATACTTTCCGATAAAGTTAGACAAATGTTGACTAGGAAAAGATAAGAGCCCACATGAACAGGGAGAACCTTAACGTCAACGATCCTGACTGATTCACGTGTAGCTCCCATCACGGCTGCTCGCTCCATCGCTCGCTTCTTCATCTCGTTGACGACCTCTGTCAAGTCTCTTCCTTCCAAAATTTCAATCGTGTCTATCTCGCCTGAGACACTCGCGATGGCTGCCCCGACTGCGTTGGCGACCTCATGGTGCTTCGGGACTCTAATAGACGAGAATCAAGGTCAATATGTAGCTTGCGATGTGGGGCAGAAGAGCGGTGCTTTGCGTACATGATGTTCTTGACACCTCGTAAGGACTGAGGGGCAATCACAGAACCGCCACCGACGAGGAGGACGTCGCAGTCCTCTTGGCTCGTCTTCATCCTATCGACGACATTCTGCAGACCATGCAAGGGTTGGAAGAGAACAAACCAAGAAAAGGGGTTGAAACCGACCTCCAGAAGATGCTTGATGCGCGATCTTGCTGCATCCACCAATTCTTCGGATAAGTGCAATACTTTGGATTGATCGCCGAGAATGACAGATCCTGAGCGAACAGCGATGTCGGTAGTCGTCAATTCGCTTCCGCCGAAAACAACTGCATCTCTGGATAGCTGAGAGGGGGATCAAAAATCGGAAGAAGGCAGTAGGATAAGAACAGCTCACGAAATGTCCTACTGAATCAGGACCGACGGTAACCCCCGTCTCTTCGTCAACCCGAACTCTCGAACCCCCACCAAGCCCAATCGAATGGACGTCAGGCATCGAGAAACTTTGAGCTCATCAGCCAAAGACGACTTGAAAGAGGTAGCAGGAAGGTTACTTGGTTCGTACACCCGCCACTAGGCATCACAAGAGATGGTCAATTAATCATGGTCTGAAACTGAGTGCAGGCGGATCTACCTTCCACGAACGCAGCAGCCTGCCTCGGAAATCCGCTGGGCAACAGAACACCCACGTCCGTCGTCGTCCCACCAATATCGACCACAATTATACTGCTCCTTTCCTCTGTCTTTGCACTGCGGATGTCGAGGCCGCCGAGGAAGGATGCACCTCGCATAGAATTCGTTGCCCCGGACGAGAACGTCTTGATCGGTAAGAGGGCTGCTTCTTCGGCTGTGATGAGGGTACCATCGTTCTGACGACGAAATCTCAGCAGTGAAATGGTAGGAAAAGGGCGACAATTACTTGTGTCAAGTAGAGGGGGCAGCGAAGTCCTAGCCTCTTCATGGCGCGCTTGTAGCTCAGGATAGTTCGTTGTGCGAAGCTCATGATCGATGCATTGAGGATGGATGCGTTTTCTCGTTCAAGGAAACCTACGTGGCCGACTGTATGGGTTCAAGTACTCAGTCGTTGTTGCCCTGGCTGTTCAACCTGGTGACTTACCATCGCGAGAACAGACGACGTTGACGCGGTCTCCCAGTTCACGCCTCAGAATCTCGCGAGCCTGATATTCTTGCTTGCCCTCAACGTCGAGAGGCGAGTCTAAGGTAGAACACGTTCTCGTCAGATCGAGGGGAAATCAAATCTTGACTGCACTCACAAACACCCACAACGACGACGTTTTTCAACCCTTTCTCGTGAATCACCCTCGCCTGCTCGACGACTTGCTCCTCCCGAAGCTCGTTGATCACTCTTCCATCACTGCCAAAGTCGTGAGTCGCGATCAATTGAACTCACGATGTGGTACTTACATCTGAAGGCCGCCATCGATCACAGTGGTATGTCCATTCATGATGCTCTTGAGACCCTCTGGAAAATCAATAAACTGGACAAACATGCTATGAGCGCTGGCAATGCGATGTGATATTGGACGTACGGGTGGGCATTCGGTCGTGTACGGTGCTGCTAGTCGAACGACCGCCACTTTCTCTAAGCATCTGGAATCCAACTGGACGACGGCGTTCACGAAATGCTAGACAGCCAGATAAATATTCGGAGAACACTCGCGCAGCCCCTGCCTCACTGTGGTCCCGATAGTGAGGCTCAGGATCCCCTCGCTTCCTGCGCTGACTCTTGCATTCTCCAGAACATGTTGAACCGCTTTCTCGATACCTGTGGTAATATCTGGTGTCGTTACATGTTTAAACGAAGCAACTACGGCGTTCTTGTTGGCCTTGGTGATGTCCAGGAGAATAGCGTCTGTATTGGTCCCTAGGAAGTGCGTCAGTTGTGCGTCAGTGCTGAACTGTGAACATTCTGGTATGGGACATACCTCCAACATCGACCCCAAGTCTGTATTTCGAAGGGTTTGTCATGAATCAGGACAACAAGATACATTATGGCCTACTCCCATCATGGTTCAGTATGTAATGATCATGGGAAGATTCAGCGGACCGTCCGGCGCCGAACAACTGTGGCCTGAATTTAGTGGCCCGTCGCTTATATTTCTGTGTATATCAGCTCGCCACACAAGTTGCTCCTGACCACCACCTCTGACCCACCTTCCGAATATCCCAACTTCTTATCAACACACAATGGGACAGTACTGGCAGTGGATTAATCTCGACAAATTCGAGCAAACTTGCAACAGCAGTGTCGGTAAATTCGGGGAATCCTGCTTCAGCCCTTCAGATGTCCTGCTCTTTCTTCGACCACCCCCTTGTCATGCCATGGCGATAAATACGTATAGAATGTCTTCCGATGATCCAGAAGGGTATCTCAGGCGCCATCTTGAGGAAATGGATCAAAGCATTCATCGCAACTCGTATAAACCAGGCTCTTGGGCAGGCGATCGGATTATCCTTCTGGGCGACTACGCTTCCGACTTTCCTCCATCTCTGACGCAGCGCGACGTCGAACGCATCTCAAAGTTCTGCCAGGACAATAAGGTCAAGTTCGAGCCTGCCCGGCCGGTCTCTCCGGAAAGTCGAGCAAGACTCACCCCAGTGGAGCTAGCGACTGAAGAAGCAGAGTACGCGGTGCGCAACGTGTACCGGCAACTCACAGAAGTAGCATCCGGGCATGGATGGCACAACGGACGACCACTCAATGGTCGGCTGTGGATCGGAGACCAGGGGGCGTTCCCGACGAAGGTTGTTTGGGTCCTGCGTAACCTCAGCAAGCGTGTCTATGTTCGGTCGGACGGTTTCCCGGATATGAAGGAAGACGAGAACACAGGGAGCATGGAGTATTATTATTACCCCGACCCCATGAAGACTCCTGGTCTCTCTCAGGTGCTGTACATGCGCTGCGCGTGGTCGACAGACGATTCCATGGCCACACCATATGAAGGAGAACCGCCGCTGCATCGCGGACTGTGGGCAAGCGATAGATTCGATGTTGTTCTATACGAGGACGCCGCTGAAACGCTTCACGAAGAAGGATGGGAAGACGTGACGAGAGAGTTAGCGAAGGAGATGTATGGCTTTTTCAAAGCCGAGTATGAGGGCTGCTACGGCAAGGGGATTTATCCAGCATGGAGAGAGGAACCAGATGTGGATGAGGAGGAGTAGTCAGGGGAAGGATATACGCCCTTCGGGAGGATGAGGATAGCGAGCAGTAAGAACATGGCTATTGTTTCACTTTCCATGTAACGAATATCGTCGCGGTGACAGACCAAATTCCGCACAGTGCAATTGATGTTGGGCCTGATATTTGGAAATATGGGATGATCCACATGTCTGGCCCCCTAGACCTTCCGTCTAAATCTTTATTCGACTCACAAGACATCAAGGACGAAACAGCCAGTGCGCCACACATGCCGTGACTGTAATCATTATCTAAGAAAGATGAGGATCTCTTCTTCACCGGAACTCGGACTAGCTATTCTCTTTATTCCGGACATTCTTCTGAGCTCTACAATCGTTTTCTGACAGTCTCCAGCATCTGAGAGAGGCTGGTGATTTTTTCCAAAAGGAGGGCAGCTTTAAATGGTCGACATTATGTGAGCTTTGGGCCGTCGGAGCCTAGGGATAAGGGATTGAGGTCGAATTACCGAAATTCGGGTTAAAACTAAACTTTTGAAGTCCTTGTCGACGGATTATTGTAGGTTAGTCGGTGTCAGGGCGGTCTCAATGACAATAGGACCATTTTTGAGCACGGCACTTGGAGGGACCCCGCGTTCACTCAAATCCTAGAGACGCGCCAGAGAATTGGGCAGAAGCAACTTCCCCGCTTCAGGATTAACGAATAATACAGTAGCAAAAAGTTGAGCGAGTTGAGCGGTAAGGACAAAATCAACAAGACGCTGAAGCGGACGTCATGTAATGCGGAACTTCTACGAGTTCGAAGCATCCTCTTTGATCATATCAGCGGCCTGAAAAAATGTTGATTTGTAAGGGAAATAACAAATCATAGTGTCATACCTTCTCTGCAATCATGTATACTGTCGAACACTACAGGGGAATCAGATTTTTTAAAATGTATCTTGCACGAACCGAGCTTACAATATGCCCACTGATCGGGAAAGGAATAATCGAGGCATCTGACGGTTAGAGGGAATCGTGAATTTGTATCCAGGATGAGAACTAGAGAAAGACTGACCCACGACGCGCACGTTCTCGATTCCATACACCCTCAACCTCGTGTCAACCACCCCACCAAGCTCCTGAGGCATCATCGCCAGTGAACCCACAACATGATTGTCACTCGCCGCGACCTCTCTCGCATATAACTCTACACTTCTATCCGGTCCTGGTTCGTACTCTTCTTCGTAGATGGTGTCAAGCGGCGTAGTCCTTAACATCTTCCTCCCAAGCTCGATACTCCTCACGTGCGTAGCAAAGTCCAGAGGGTGCGCATAGTACGCAGGGTCGATCGCTGGTAGGGCAAGCGGGTCAGAAGAGCTAATATGCGTACGTCCACGAGAGAGGGTGCTGAAGAGGACGGCATTAACAGAGGAATATTTCCTCCGTGGACGGTCTTCGAAAGATGTTGGGCCCGAGTAACCGGGTTCTACGGGTAAACGTGGGCTCAATGTGTAAAGCACTTGCGGTTGCAGAGTTCACGAACCATAATTGATTTCCACGGGTGCGGCACGGTCCTTGAGCCAGAGGTCCAGCATCAGAGAATGCTGCATTTCTATACCCTTTGCCAAATTCTCGTTCCCGTTTGAGAAGCGGTTGGCGTAGAGTTTGATGTTATCTCTAGCAGCCTGAAGGATATTCCTGAGGTCGGAGGATGGAAAGAGAGTGGAGGCGGCGACGAGTCCAAGTGATCGCGGAGCGGCCGACAAGACGCCTAGGGAGAGGGGAGGGAATACATAGATAGGCAGCCGTTACAGACAGCGAACACGGAACGGACCTGTGCGATTATGATACCACAACTCTCCTTGTTCTTTCTCAAACACAGGATCCAGGCGTAGCATGTCTCGCGTGACACTGAGTCCGCGGATGTCAATGGAGATAAAAAACGAGGGATAAAGTAGCTTACGAGGCGTTCGTGAAGGCGTTGGCCCAACCATGGACATGATCTGCTCGTAAGGAATTAAATTTACATGATCTTAGAGATAGCGAAGAGTGGAAACGCACCAGCAAGATTCTCGCCTACCGTGGATAGCCCAAGCACGGGTTTTATTCCCGCAGATGTGAGGATCCTTGTTTCAGAATGAGCTTATATTCCCTCAGAACCGGAATTGGCCTACGTCGCATTCCCAACTCCTGATAGCTCCAGGATCTTCGGACTCGCAATGGCGCCTGCTGCGAGCAAAACTTCTTTTGCGACCCGCAGAGTACGTACAACACCGTCTGACGAAGTCAACTCGACGCCTGCAGCTCTCAGAGGACGATACTCTCCTGATGAAATCGGGGATTGTGCGGTGTGGTGTTGGGATTGGTCCCACAGAATGCGAGTGACGGTTACGTTGGTCATCACTGTGAGATTTGGACGATCGGCATTGGGTGTGTAGTAGGCGCATACGGAAGAACACCTAGAAGCAGCATCAGGATGAGCGACTTCTCTCGTTGGCGATTATGAAAAAGTTGCTATGAGAGGAAGGAACGAAAAGTGGCAGAAAAGGAAAAGACAGCCGCGAAGCTCGGGACAAGCAGGTGAAGCAACATGACCGTGATATCCGTATACCCGCACAATGAAAATCGTCACTCACCGTGTATTATTTCTAGCGTCGAGAGAATTGATGGAAATGCCTACGTGTCCTTGTGGATCACCATTGGACAAGTCGGGCGAAGGTCTTAAGCCAGATGCTTCATGCCACATTTGCGATTGCGGGTAGATAAAGTTTGGAAAGCCGACTTTGACACGGCCTTCCTTCTTCGGATTGTCGATGGTGGCGCCGCTGGGCGCTCCGTGCGCGTCGGGTTGGTATCGAACCCCATCGGCGAGCTGGGACAGAGTCGGTGGTATGATCGTCTCCGAACGCTTGAAGTAGGGCAGAAGGGCGTCCCACGTCCAAGACGTGTCGTCGTTATTAAGAGTGCCCCAGGCATCGTACTGCTCCTTCTCGGCGCGGGGCTATTGCATGGACCAAATTGCATGGTCTTGGTGAAAGGTACGAAGTGTCGAAATTGGACAGGGAACTTACGAATATCATGCTGTTAACTTCAGTGCATGTCAGTGGCGCCTCGTAACAATCAAAGAGGCATACATACTGATGGTGCTCCCGCCGAGCACTTTCCCAGCGCCTATCGTTGTCCGTCTTCCTCCAAGGTGTTCCTGTGGCACCGTCTGATACGCCCAGTTTAACGTCGTGAATGACTGGCCGAAGCCGACTAGTCCGGGGATGTACACCTTAAGAAAAAGGATTTGATAACGTTCCATGAATAACGAACGTTGTATCTACCTCGGGAAGATGTTCAGCATTTGGCCCAGCTTCTAGAACGACTACGGACACAGCTGGGTCTTCGCTGAGGCGACTTGCAACAGTCAGCCCTCTAACAAATTACGCCCGTAAATCGCATAGCATAAAATGAAAACGAAAATCGACGCACGCATTTCCTCCGCCGACAACAAGGTAATCAAAAGTATCGACATTCGCAACGTCCGGTAGAATTTCCGAGAACCACGACTTCTGCAGAAACGAGAGATAGAATGTAGAGAATTCAGCGAACTTCATCTTGACCGGGACGAGCGACGTGCTCAAGAGGCTCGAAGAAGAGGTCGGTTCGTTCGTGGAACCGACAACATATAAGAAACTGTCGCGATATAAGTGGTTAGCACGCTGTTCGTGCACACCATTGTGGTGGCCGAAAGAGGGTCGAAAGGATCATATCCCGGGTTTGTGTCATAACGAATGAATTGCTCAGGGACTGAGACTCGGCACAAGCCCTGCACATACTCTAGATAGGGTAGCGGTTGCAGGTGGGTATGAGCCCTTGTGGCATGAAGGGTCAAAAAAACTGAGTTTAGGAACGAGGAAAGGCTGATTCGCGGAAGCAAGAGGGTATGGTGGGATCCTCGTCGGCGGTATCTGCGTTCGATTGGGTATGGTGTCGACGGGTTCGAGGGCAGGGTCGTCGACAGGGCATGCTGAAGGCATGGCGGAGGGCGTTGCCGCCAACAACGTCGAGTCAGGTGAACTGCAATCTCGGGAAGCGGCATGCCAACTTGCGCCACAAAAGGATACCCTGCCCCAGAAGGTTTCTCCAGAAAACTTTATTACCAATTTTCGACATTTACGAGGAATTTTGCTCACCGAACATCAAGGCAAGTGGAGATGTTGATGACCACTTGACTGGAACGCGTAATTACGCAGAGCCACTATTCGTGCAGCTTCTCCCGAGGTGACGTTAATCAATTCCGGATTTCTGTTGGTTGGTAGATTAACTGCCGATTGGCATTTTGGAACAGCGTTGAGTTCGTGACCATCGTATGGGGAACTGGGGATGACGGTGCTGGAACGAAATCCATGGAGGAGCCCATAGAGTATATCCACAACGGGCAGTCATCGAGTCGAACTCAACGGAAACATGCCCCGAATCTGTTTTCCAGCACAATTGGACGATTCCTAACTTTTCGGCCCGTGTTTGAGACCCGAAGATTGGAGATACAAGGTTCTGGAAAGAAGATACGAGTCTCATGTCACAGACTTGAGAGGCACTAGACGAGAGGAGTGCTCCCACCCAGCCCGGCCTCCCAAGCGCATTCACACTCGGCCTAGGGCCGACCGCTCCGACCTGCGTGTCTATGGATAGATCAACCTATCATCGTGGACGAGGGCTGTGAAAACTATGCACTCCTGAGAGAGAAGACACAAGCGAAGCACCCAGCCGCCTCCCCGTCGCTGAATCTCCGGAGTATTCGAGGCAAGGGCGGGAACGTGGATCGAACCTATCGAGCATCTGTGAGCAAAGGAGCTACAGCGAAGCGCTATCGTGAGCCGTTATAGGGTATTCGAATGTAAGGTCGCCGATGCCGTGCCCATTTGGCGTGAACATGGAAGGATTGTGTAGGTTGCCTTCAAGGGATAACACCAAGGAGCAAATGGAGAGAAGGAAGGGGTCGAAAGGTGAGATTGGCCGCGGTGCTAAACGTGTAGGAATTGCTGATATGTTGTAGAGAAAGGGAAGAAATGTTGCTTGTATTCGAACGATGAAGAGGGTATGATACATGTGGTGAAGAACCTGGTCAAATGCACTATGCCGAAGAAAGTTGATGGCGAGATGGTGGGCCTCTTCGCTTTTCTCATTCCGTGAGAGTCTCAGTGAAGAAGTACACGCGAGGCGGAGAGGTTTTGCCCCAAGCAGACCATGTCAGTACCTTCACGTCTGACGACAGGTTCTCGAGTGATGGCGGTTTTGAAGCGACCTCTGCAAAATCGCGTCACTGACGACAAAATATCTTCATAGGAAGCTTCAGGAAATGGTGCAGCTACCGAGGACGATGACGTGCCAGTGTCAAATAGTCATCTGCGAAGAATGGGTTAGTAGGAAAAGGGGCAGAAGGTGGAAGCGAGACGTACCCAGAAAGAAAACCCTATATGATCATCTTTTCGTCGTCATCCGAGCTCTCCGACTCCTCTGTCTTCACGACCTCGTCTCTTGTCGGTTCGACAGTCCCAACACCAAGAATTGCCCCTTGGATGCTCTTCTTCATTGCACTGTATACCGTCCTGGCCCCCTCCCTTGCCACCTCCTTCGCCCGATAGAGTTCTTTCTCGTCGTAGCCGCCAACGATCGACCTCCAGCTCGTCCACACACAGTCGGTGTCCGTTCCTGCTTCCTCGATATCATCCGCAAACATGAACGCAAAACACCCTGTTCCTCTCAACTTCGCTGTTTCTGCGTCGCTTGGGTCCAGAACGAGGGTTCCGTCCGGCAACGAGCCTATGGCAACCGCACATACAATACCACGCATAGGAATAGACGCGGCATTGACGAGGGCTAGCGAGCTGGCGTTGATAAAGGCAGCTGACAACGTGTCGCTCCACGATGCGCCTCGCGATGGTGACAAGCTTTGGATAACAAGTTGTGCAAGTGTCCGTGGTGCTTTGTTGAGGAAAAGCGAGGGCTCTAGAGTTGACCGAATTGCCGAAGACAAGGACTTCGCGTCTGCTGCTGATACACCAGAGAGAGGACGTAGATGGACTTCGAATGTCGCTTTTGAGGGCAGCTCTGAGGCTAATCTGACTTCGATGGGGCCTGAAAACGAGGCCAGCGCCATTGTTTCTCCTGAATGCATATCGCGTCAGTAAAAAGAACAACAGAATAATTACTGGCAGGTACGTACCAAACGAGAACCGTGCAGAGCCATCCGCCCGCGCAAGTTTGTCAAATGATACAGCAATCGGTCTTGTTTCCGCAGTTTTTCGTCCGTCAAGTCGGGTTTGAGACACCATAGTGTTGACTGACGAATTTGAATCGATGTTTTATGTTCCAATTCTGGCCGCTGAAGGGCGAGCGTTGTTGAAGATAAGGATGTTGAACAGAGAAAAGTGTTGAAACTCTGGTTGGGGAAGCCGTGGGAGAATCTGTCGGCACGCCGGCAGGGATATTCACGCCATCTCCACTGGCAGATCATGCCGGGTATTCCTCACCTAACCTCCAGTTCTCTCCTCAGTGCTACCGCCAGCATCTGGCAAAGCTCGAGCCCCTGGCACCCTTGAAAGTTCCTCTAGTGATGCACTGAACTTTCCAATTTTTTGCCACAGAGATAAGATAAGATATCCGTACCAAACCGGATGGTCTTTCCTTTGGCCTGGATCCTCCAAGGTTAGTCCCAGCCAACGTGTTCTTCGTGAGATCCAGTATTTGACATTTCCCCGGTTCTTCCAGGTCCCAGATGTTCATTGGTCCATAATTAAGTTGTGGCGAGGCGGCCGCATGCCAGCTCAGGCGAGCCTTTTGCGGGGGGCGCCTGTGACGCTTGTTCATTGACCTCCATCACTCTGCATCGCCCGTTCGACGCGGACCATCGCCGATGTCGTATCCGAAAGCCACAGAATTCGAGAAGGCAGCGAACGCTACCAAGAGCACCGATGCACTCTCGAATGAGGCTACGGAAGGTCACAACGACGGACAAGAGCCAGTTTCGCAGCGGTCAAGCGACACTCAAGCGACCTTGCGCCAATCTCACCGGTTTTCTGCTACATCTGACGCTACGGAGGGATTCAAGAGTGTACCGAGCTCTCCGATAGACGTCAACCCCCCTCCGCCCATTCCAGAGGCTTTCAAACTCACAGAGAAACCGTCGAGATTGGAGAGCGCTGCCGGGTCAACACCACGCCCGACCATCGTGCTGCCCCTGCCACACACGGACACGAACACGAACACGAAGCAGCCACCATTGCGAGTGCCCAGTCCGAAGGGGAGCTGCCCTCCATCCTGCGGCACCATCAGTCAATTGTGACCTTCCTGCTCGCAGAGAAGCATATCCATACGCTAGTTTCACCGAAGAGGAGGAGGCGGAGGAGGCGACAAAGCGGATTACGGGATTTCAGCTTGATGTGAGTACTTCCATCCTCAGACAATTCTTGTCGTATTGAGGATATGGCTAGGATGATACTTCAACATCCTTTCTCGATCATCATGGCCCACCTTCTCATACTAGGCCTTGCTTGGACGTTTTTCGTCGTCGTTCTATTCCAGGGCCCTCTTGTGCTTTCGCCATCCGTCGCTTCAGCTGCGAAGAGCAATCCCCAGCCCTTGGTATTTGTTGTCACCCTCATTGCGACGATCATTTCAACTATATCTTCATTGTGGGTACTTGATTTGCCGTGCTACGTTCTTGAGCTCATCTCGGTTGAACAGCTTCTTTGGTCTCTCTATTCGGCTCATAGTCAACCATTACCTCGCGACACGTTCCATGTCGATCTTTTCTCTCGGAACGAGCATGAAGATCCTCAATTGTGACTTTGTGTTCGATATGCATCACCAATGGTGGACGACGGCTGCAATCCTTATGTTTTTGGTGAATATTACTCTGATCGCCGCGTAGGTAATAATTTCCTTGACAAATTTCTGGTCTTCATGATTATTTTCAGTTGGTCTGCGCTAATTACGCCAGTGCCTGTGATCATCGGGGCACCTTTATCTGGGCTTCAGCCTACCGAAGGATTCGGCTTCAACCAAGACCTCGGTGTGATCAACATCATCCTCCTGCCAATAACTTGCACCAGCTTGGCCCCTCTGACCCTTGTCTTCATTGTGCTCTTCCAACGCATGTTTGACGCTGCTGACCCCTGGCACGAGGACGAGGAGCTCGACGACCTGTCCTCCAAAACTGACTCGCGGCGGGCCTCTCAGCTCGAGCCCTCGCCAGATACTCCTGACGGCTCGCCCACGGACAACCGGAAATCCACCGCAACGACGAGCACGCAGAAGACCACGCTGAGCACCGGAGGCCCGCCGACGATCCTCACGCGAGCCCAGAGAGAGCACGCGGCGCACCTTGCACACGAGATCGCGTCGTTCGACTTGGGCAACCCTCTCCATCTTCTTGCCACTGCCTCTGCGGGTGGGATTACCGGTATCGTGCGCGATGGACTGAGCGAGGAGGCGGTGAGGATGAGTCATCCGATTCGCCTGAGGCTTGGAAGGGTCGACCGGTTGGCGGCGGCGGCGGGCGCTGGGGTGACCGATGGAGGAGCGGCGGCGAGTGGTGGCGGAGACGAGGTGGTCGGACTGATGCAGGCGTGGTAGCAGGTGTACGACTACGTCGCGGTTACACAATAGCAGGTGGCGGGTGCCGTATGTATTACTATGCACAATATGATACTTCTTTGCGTTGCTTTATTTTAGGATCTGAATCTCTCGTCGAGGCGTGTGGTACAAGCCTCCTAGATCGAAGCGACATCTAGATGCATCCATCTTGCAGACAAAGGTGGGATATTCATACTGATGAGGGTGCAAGACCTTTAAAACAAAAGTCATTGTACGTGAATTCTTAGAAGGGCATCCCGCTCTCCAAAGGGGGGAGCAGGGCAGCAGAGACAGTCCGTTGCAAGAGCGTCCCTCGTCCTGGTTTTCCTCAAGCAATTGCTTAACCACAGATGAAAGACTTGCGAAGCCGGATATGCACACAGTGCTGCGTAACCGTAAGACAATGTCGAGGGCATTAGCTCTATCAATAAGTTCTCAGGCTTGCGACATCTGCTGCAAAACCTTGTCTGTCCTCATTATCCTGGGCGTTGGGTTATCCACTCGCTGTCATGCTATCAAAAGCCCGGACAGCTCGCCAGCGTCAATACCCTAACGGGGACGAGACTAGCTTCCTCGTTAGACTCCTCGTCAGACTCTGGCTCTTCTACCCATGCCGGATAAACCTTCCTGCCGTATTGAGCCTTGTATATCTCGTACATCTCCTTCGCCAGTTCTCTCGTCACATCTTCCCATCCTTCATCGCGAAGCACCTCAGCGGTGTCCTCGAGGGGAACGACGTCGAACCTGTCACTTGCCCAAAGTCCGCGATGAAGCGGCGGGTTCCCCTCATACATGATGGCCATTGAATTGTCTGTTGACCACGCGCAGCGCATGTAGAGCACCTGAGAGAGGCCGGGGGTTCCCTCGAGTTTAGGGTAATGGTAGTACTCCATGTTCCCGCTGCTGTCGTTCGGCATGTAGGGGATGCCGTTTGAGCGGACGTAGACGCGCTTGGTGAGATTGCGCAGGACCCAGCCGGTTTGCTTCGGAAATGCCGTGTAGTCTTCGACCTTCAGCCGGCCGTTGTCGTATCTGTCTCTGTCCCATTGATATGGGCTTGCCACTTCATCCATCATTCGGTATACATTGCGCGCTGCGTTCTCTGCTTCTTCAGTGGCCAGCTCTTCCGGCGTCATTTTTGCTCGCCTCTCGTGAGAGATTGGGGGGACGCTCCCGACCTCGATGTCATTGACCTCGCAGATATTCGAGACCCGTTCAATGTCCCGGAGAGTCAGCGATGGAGGGTAGTCCGCAGCGTAGTCGCCGAGGAGGATAATACGATCGCCCGCCCAAGAACCTGGGCTGTACGAGTAGCGGTTGAATCTTTCCACCATTTCCTCCATTTCTTTGACTCGGAGCCTGTAGTTGTCTTCGGGCTCAGGAGGGACTCTGCGCAACTCTATAGACATTGGCCGGGGCGGAGGTCGAAGAAAAAGCAGGACATCAGTTGGACTCCAGCAGGCTTCCCCAAATTTCCCCATGCTTTTGCCCATCGTTTGGTCGATCTTGTCGAGGTTTATCCACGTCCAATACTGTCCCATTGTGAGTGGGTAAGCGCGGGATGTTTGGAAGGGGGTGATGTTCGAGGTTGCAAACTGCAAACTGACAGAAGGTGACGTGTCACCATGTGCAATAGTTAGGCATTTCGGCCGATGCCGAAATCGCGGTCCGGTGGGATTGCTTTACTTCTTTCTCATGCCTGCCAAAAGGAAAATAAGCGCTGGAACTTTGAAGTAAGTCGCCACCATCCCATTTTACCGATTCTGCAGAAAAGCCATCTCGAGGCTACCTCTACCGCCGTATTCACATATTATCTAACGGGCTACAGTTGATACCGTTGATTGTTTCGTGAGTTGCTGGGAACTTATGGGCAACACTTTACACTGTGGGGCGTGAAGCTGTTTGCACAAAGGGAGGTCAGTGCTTCAGGGTAATCCACGCCGAAATAAATTCTAACCATCCGTGATAGCGGTGCGAGCAGTCCGCGCGCCTGCCATCGTACGCCATAATGCCCAGGAAATTTTTGACTTGCCCGGCAGCGGTTGTAATAATTTGTACGCAACACACGCGCAAGCGCCCTATTGGACCTATGATTTCATTCCCATAGATAAAAGGTACGAGATAGTCCGAAAAAGTGGACTCTGCGAGAATTGAACTCGCGACCTCACGCATGTGCTGAAGTGTGCGAAGCGTGCGCGCTACCCCTGTGCCAAGAGCCCATATTATTTTATTTCAGCAAGGAATATGTAATGTCGGAGCCACAGGAGGAGCCAGTCTAAGCGTGACTCCCTAAGCGTGACTGACCCATCGGGCCGTCTTTCCGCCACTTTGGAACCGAAAAATGCCTGCCAATCTGCCAATCTAAGTTCAATGATACCTTCTCGCCTCAAGCCCTTGAGTAAGCGTGCTCATAAAAAAAAAGAATCACGATTGCCCGATTGGTGAACAAATGCGTCGAGCAGAGGTCATGGAAAGCAGTGTGAAGAACCCGAAGAATAACCCATCAATGTCGCGCTGAAAGAAAACCTGTGCAAGTTGTCCGACGTTCAAATAATAAATAATAGTATGCTCTCTCGTCATCAACACGCTGATGGTTGGAAGTTTTTCCGCTCCCGTTCAATCTGGGGCTTGATTGAATGGAATCAGAATCAATGAAACGGGGACCACCACTGTCATTCTGAGGAGCCTTGATGATTCTCGATGTCTCTCGACATCAAATTGGAGTGTTTGAGCGATCTTTCGGCACTTTCTTCGGTCAACCCGAAAGATGGAATCAAACAGGATCGAATAGAAGAGACTATTAGGGAATGAAGGGGTGTCTCGGGCGTGTGGTGTGTAACCGCCCATCACTCAGAAGGCACGATCCGTCTGATTTTCGTAAAAATCAGAGGCGTATCCCTACTCAACATTCAGGGCGCTCGTCCAACTAAGAACGTATTCAACAGAATTATAGTCGGGTATACAAACGTTGAACGACATTCTTAACAGCTTTTCTTATTATTCCATCACGAACAAACTCAGCCCGTGTCCATACAGTACGTCAAATTTTAGGAAGGCTCGCTCGGGCTTCTATCCATACGGCACGAAGCAAATTAGAGGGCGAGGACACCTGCAAGGACGGCGCCGAACACGGTACCAGCACCAGCGGTGAGGCCAGACGCAGCGTTCGACGTGGCAGCGGGGGTGGCGGTGTCAGTGGATGTGGCAGGGGTGGTCGCAGTGTTGGTCGAGGCGAGGGTGAAGGGCACAGTCCTTGGGGTGGCGGTGCCGCTGGGGGTGATGCCGGCTAACGATATCGTGAGCCGCGTATACAAGATGAGAGCATGGGAGACATACCAGCAGTGCACTGAGCAGTCTGTAAGGCAAGAGCGGTCTGGAGGTCCTCAGCTGTGCAGTGGGTGGTCAGGCACAGAGCAGCGTCGGCCTGGAATTGGGCGGATGCGCAAACGCAGCTAGCGTCGGTGCTGGAAGGAACATGGGAAGATGAGCGAACGTAGTCGAGGGATTCGAACATGTGCGTACAATGCGCAGTTGCTCATTTGAGCGGCGGGCAGCACGCAGGCCACGATACAGTCAGAGAGGTTGAGGCCGCTGGGAAGGGACGGTGCGGCGGTGGAAGTGGTGTCCTGGGCGTTGACAGCAGCGACCGCGGCGGCGAGAACGATGAGGA